GAAACGAGAACGGGCAGCTCAGACCTTTCGGCATGAACCGAGGAATGGATACTGCTCGCCTTGAGACAGACGACACGTGAAGTCGAACCGCCACCAAGGATGATTCCAAAACATGCATATAAAGGCCCTAGCCGCATTTGTCAAACCCCGCGGGTTCGTTCTGATTCGTCAAGTTTAGAGATTCGGTAGTTGGGCGCGGTTGAATTCTCCGATCAAGCCAAGAGCGCGGGAGGTTGAATTTCCGGGCTACGTCACGAAATTCGAGGTGAAAGAAAAAAAATCCAGACATCGAAATTCGAGGGCATTCGTTCGGTGAGTTCGATGGCCTGAGGCGAGATTTGACCCATCAGGCAAGGTGCTTCGGAATGATTGGTCGGCAAAAAATGGCGAATGCACGGAGGAACAAAGTCCGAATCTGAGTAAATCCGGGGGCGGGGGGGAAGAGATGACCGCTCGGGAGGTGCTTCGGCGATAAGGGAGTGAGGCCGGAGGCGGTGCTGAGCATGACGGTCGTGCACGGAGCGACTTTTGCGGTTAGAAAAAGGTTAGCAGCTGGTAGCTGGGCCGGATCTGGGAAGGGTCAAGCTGTGGTATCAGTCGGAGCTGAGAGTCGAATTGACTGTGTACGGATGCGTGAGTTGAGAGTCGTGGTCACGGTTTGTCTCGGCGACATGACAGCAGGCACCCGAGGAGCTGCAACTGCAACAATGGGTTGTGCACATGGCAGTTCATAAATGCGAGGACCGGATGAGGGAGACTCGGGGAACGTGTGCATGATGGCGAAGGGCGCGGGCATGTCAATTAATAGCGGCGGAGGCAGATCAGCCAGGCATGCCGGGTGGCCGGTGGGGGACAGGCCAATGGACGAAGAGAATAGACCGGTGTGGACGGAAATGACGGTCTGTTTGATCTCAAACGTGAGTCAGATGGAGCAGAAAAAGAGCGTGCTCGAGCCTCGTTTTGGCATGGCCTGGGTGGCTTTTTGTTTCGTCTTGTTGTAAGTCTGGGTGGTTTGATGCGTCCATGGTCCATGGATGGGGCCGGTGACCGGTCGCCCCGGCTGACAAATGCACCTGGCGACTCGATTCGCACTGTCATCCATCCTAATGCCACCATCCAGCCTCCTCACTCTGACCTCTTTCTCTGTCTCCCCCCACTCGACGGTCCCTTCTGATCCCCGTTTACAGGGCTTACGGCAGAAGCGACTAGAAGAAATCTTTGTGACTCAGGCAGCAAAAGTCTTTCGCGGCGTTCCGTTCTTGCCGCAGCGTCTCCCGCAGCTCCCCTTGTACACGCGCGGCCCGCCACCTACCTTTGAACCTGCACCTACGGCCGCCTACAGTGCGACTGCCAGGTACCCCTCACCCTCTGTAGGTACCTTCCACCAGCCCTGCACGCTCGGCGGGCGCTCTCAGTGCTGAGCCTGCACTGCAGCCAACCAGCTACAACCTGGCCCCCGCCAAACTCTGGCTCTCGTCCACCCCATCCGCCTGACGCCAGCTGCCACCCATCGCAACGATTCCATCATCCATCTTACATAGTAACCTGGTCCCTTGAGATCTCAATCCGAAAATCCCCTTATTCCGCCTCGTTTATCAATCTCTTGCCTGCTCATTGTGTCATATACGCGCCAGAACCGTGTATCGCTTCGCATTACAAAGCCCCGCTCGCTGCTCTAGTCTGAGTGGCCGCCAACACATCGACAACGCCGCTACACAGGCTCTTTGCCCCCCTCTTGCGAGAGAGCCTGGAACGGCAGAGAGCTTGGATTGATATCCATCTTCTACCCTTGCCTGTTCTCGCCACGGTCCGCGACCATTTCTCATCCTCTGCGCCGTATCTCGTCGACCTTCTTTGACCTTCGCGATGGCTTCTGCTGGCACTGGTGGCTCTTTGCCACCCAACTTCCTCTTGACCCCGCAACAGCAGAACCTGCTCTTTGCTGCTCTCAACTCCAACAAGCAGCAGACCTCTGCGAGTCCCGCGAACAACGCCCTGTCGCTTTCTCCGACGTCGTTTCACAACTCAGCCGCTCAGCCCAAGAGTGCTACGAACCAGGCATATCAGGAGAGTCCCTTCCTTGATAACTACGACTACGACTTTGGCGATTCCAGCTTCGACTTCTCCTTTGCTACCGATGATCAGCCCTCCATGATTGGAGATATTCCTTCCGCTGGCGGCGCCCTTACCTCCAAGTCCGACTCCACAGAGAATGAGGGTACTGAAAAGCGAAGCCACCCTGATGATGAGGACGAGGAGACCAGCCCTGGAAAAGACCCCAAGCGCCGCGAGAGCACCGAAAAGGTGCCCAAGAAGCCTGGCCGCAAGCCTCTCACATCTGAGCCCAGCTCGGTATGTTTTACCCTCAACACTGAAGGCCTGATCCGTTTACTAATCCACACTAGAAGCGCAAGGCCCAGAACCGAGCCGCCCAACGAGCCTTCAGAGAGCGCAAGGAAAAGCATCTCAAGGATCTCGAGACCAAGGTTGAAGAGTTAGAAAAAGCCTCTCAGGCTGCGAACCACGAGAATGGTTTGCTTCGCGCTCAGGTTGAGCGTATGACATCCGAACTCCACCAGTACAAGCAAAAGGTGTCCTTGATGACAAATAGCAAGGCGTTGCCCAGAGAAAAGGTTCCCTTTGGCAACGCAGCAGTCAGCAACCTCGGCGATGTCAACTTTCAATTCGAGTTCCCCAAGTTTGGCATGCTCCCCGGACCTCCCGTCAACAAGCCACAGAGATCTGGCTCATCGCCTACCAGCCCCCTCCAAAAGACCTATCCAAGCCCATCAAACATCTCCAACGACTCCAGATCACCACAGTCTCAGTACAAGGATGACTTGGCCAAGTTCTCGGGTGTCTTTAGCCCTTCCATGTCGAGTTCGGCTACGAACCCTTCGCGCGCGAGTGTTGACTCTGCGGGCTACAGTGCCAATGGTGCCACAAGCTCACCATCTGCGTCGTCGCACTCCAACACTGGCCCTAGCTCTTCTTGCGGGACGTCCCCCGAACCCTTTACACAATCACCAATGGGCTTCAAGCCTGTTGATACCATGACAACTATTGGTGAGGAGCAGTCTTCGCATGCTCCCACAGACCATTTCTCGAATGTCGACCTGAGCAGCACCAACTTCGACTGGCTTGCCCAGCAAAACGGCGGCCAGTTTGATCCACAGCTCTTTGGCGACTACCGTGAGCCTCAGGATAATGTTCTGTCGAACCCCGGGTTTGATGATTTCTTTAACGACGCTCTCGACACCGACTTTTTCGTCCCATACAATATGGCGCCCACTAGCCCTGCCTCCAAGCTCAACGCCCAAGCCAAGAAGGCTCCAAACCTCATTGACCAGATTGATGCACAGCAGAACTCGATTGATGATGAGCCTCTGAAGAAACAAAACATGAACTGCAATCAGCTCTGGTATGTGGCGCCATCACGTTCTAGAAGTTTTTCATTGTCTAACCCATATTGCAGGGAGAAACTTCAAGCTTGCCCCAAGGCCCAGAACGGCGAGTTTGACCTGGACGGTCTTTGCTCCGAGCTCACCAAGAAGGCCAAGTGCTCCGGCACTGGTCCTGTGGTGGCGGAGACGGACTTTGACACCATCCTCAAGAAGTACATGGGCAAGGATGTGTCGAGCAGTTGCGTCGCCCACACGCTGGGTGTCGAGATTGAAGCTGACAAGACCAAAGCCGACAAGCATCTCGGTCTGTCGGCCTGAGATGTATCCGCACTCGACACAGAGTCGGCTGTACAGTATCAATCTAACCCGGCGCTCGGCAAGCAGCTACATACGGAATACGGCGTTTACAACAGAAAGGATGGATTCGGAAAATCAGGGGGATCGTGGCTTCTCGTTTGCTTCTATCAGAGATGGCCATGAATTGCATGGATGAGAGAAGGGAATTCATCATGGCATGGAGAATGTTGCACACTCAGATGTCGGTTTTCTTGCCTAGGCTTGAGGCTCTTGTTCATATTTCTTTTGCTTTTCCTTCGGACGGCTTTGTTTTTTTCTGCTGCTATGAATAATTGACTGATGAGTGGTTTTTGGAGGTCAACAACAAAGGAAACATTCTGGATGAAAGCGAGAGGAGACCTTTGGAGGAAACAAACAGCCATCTGTGTCTGCGTAAGCGTTGATGCTGGATGCGTTGTATGTACATCAGCAACGAGACTATACTCAATCAAACATTTTCCATCGATACACGTTGGTTGGTCATGGTTGACATGATCACTATAGTGGCATTGTCGGTTGGCTGGGAGCTTAAGAGCCAGTTTCTACGTTGTTGCCTTGAAACAGCTGCTATAGACTGTCCTCACTGTTTGAGTGTATATATAAATGTAAATATTTATGAATGAACTGATGCGTTGCGTTCCCAAGTGAGAATATTCATTAATAAGTACGACTGGCGGTATCTTGTCCACTTGAAAGACATGTATGTTCAACACACCAATAGACTAGATGACCAACCCAACATGGCATTGGATATGTCTTCGATCCTTTCTCCACTTACATCGGAAGCAGCCGGTAGGGCTGTCTAACAATAGGGTGTTGACAAAAATCTGAAACGTTGCCGTATGCCTAGTTTGCTGTTGATGGAACCTTCAACAAGCCCCCCATCTGTATTTTGATATATGAGAATGAAATGGATTTGGGCTTACACCTGAGAGATATTTGAGTTGGAACATAGAACGTGGATGGGATTGAGTGTAGAAGTGAGTGCAGGAGATATCATGTAAGCCTCCATTCAATGGATCTAAGCAGACATTGACAAGGTACTGTGTTAATACGATAGCAAGGGCCGATTTACTGGTATTCTTGCAGCACATTGCACTTGTCATTCCCTAGTAACTCTTCGTAGTCACTTGTCAGGTATCCATTTATGTATCATCTATCCCTGTGATGAAAGTGCACCTTGGGAGTAAATGGTCCGGCCTACGTTTGAGACAAGAACAACAAATATCACGCATGGCAATCACTCCTGGAAACTATGGATAAAAGTTTAAATGGGGTATTATTCCAAATATGCTCACAATAACGAACAGTTAAACCATCAATACTGACATCTCCTCCCAATGCTTCACCTCGCCTCTCCTCGTTTGACTCTTCCAACGCACTCCGAAACCTAACCGGCTGTATATAATCTGACCCACCTCAATAGACGTTTGCAGATGTGTAGATCGGGATGGGCAAGTGTAAAAAATGAGTATATCCCGAGAAAAAAACAACCCCAGCCCCCCCGACAGAGAGGAACGCCTTTGCGGCTGCAGCTGTAGCTGCAGCACGTAGCCTATGCCACAGGCCAAAGTGAATGAGATGCCGCCAAATGATGGATAGCTCCACATGCGATATGTCCTCGGTCTTGTGCCAAATAGGTAGTCTGTTTCAAATCAACATTCGTTCCTTGGGATAATGCCCCTCTATATCCTGGGGCGGCAAGGGCGTCTAGCCGTAAACCATGACCGAACGCCGTAATGAATGAAGTAGAGAGGCCGTTTCTCATCGTCCTATGTCTCCCGTCGCCGTCGCCGCGCCGCGCCCCATCCGAGCCCGTCTGTTCCGAGCGTAATATTAACTGGCTACCGAGCTCCATGATACTGACTCGTGTCGGTCGAATCCGATTCCGATTCCGTCCGTCATGGAGATACCGCAGAGGCCGTTCGGTATCTGCTGGCCGGGTGTAAACTCATCGTATAATTGAGCCTCCTACTCCGTAGCACAGGAGTGCAGTCCGTCGACTGGCCATTAATCCTTTGTCGCTGGTACGCGAATGGCCCATTGCGAGCCTCCATCATCCTCTAGCCGATGACAACTCTTGCGCCTTCCTTGCCCAACACACCTCTCTCCTTTGGCTTGGGGCTGTTTGTGCGGCCCTTCTTGCCCTTGAGGAATCCAAACATACCACCAGAGCCCTCAGCCTTGCCGTCTGCCACATTGTTGGCATCGGTAGGCAGCGTCGCATCCTGCCGAGCCAGCTCAGACCAGCTACCACCGCCGTCAAGCGTTACCTGAACACCTCCCGTAGGACTTGTGACGCGTTGACCGGCAATGATAGGAACGTGACGGGCCCGGAAGTCGTTCTGGTATGGAGGTGGCGGCGCAGGCCGGACCGGACGGCCTTGCCGGCTTTCATTACTGAGACTCGGGTTGAGGGGTGATTGCTGATAACCTCCGTTGGATGCTGGCATGGGTGTGGCCTCGTCCGTCGTGAGAGCCTGGGGACCATGATCTGCTGACTCGTTATGGTTCTGGACCTGGTTCTGGTTCTGGTTAAGGGCTTCCTCGGTGCCTTCAGTAATTCTTACGTGGCTAGTCAGCATAGGAGCAACAAGGGAAACTTGGCTGACAATGACTCACCTCTTGTATGCAGCCACCGTGTAATCAAACGGCCTGAAGTCAGTCTCGATCATGCGGTATAGCTCATCTTCCCGGATCTCCTTATCAGTCGCATCTTCCTTTAGACGCTCACGGGGCTTCTGACGCCTTGCGCGGGCCTCGAGAGGCGCCTCTTCCAAAAGCAGTTCCTCAAGGTCGTACGTGGCGTCAAAATTGGTCTTGTCGGAAGAAGGCACAAAGATGGGCTCGATTCGCTTCAGCTCCAGGAGCTCGAAATCGAAGCATTTGAAGAATTCGTTATTAATGAAGCTCTCCCATGTCGATCCCATTCGAGTATCTCGGTTCGGGTCGAGGGCGGAGCCGATTGCGTAGAGGCATGCGAGGGAAACGGGAGGCTGTGTTACCGGGTATTTAGGGTTTGCGGCCTGGATTTGCTGGCTGAGGGATCCTTCGGAACCACCTTCGAAAGGTCGCTACATCTGGTCAGCGTCTTTTGACTTGGGAGTGACCTTTGCTGGGTTTGGCAGGACTTGACCATCTTGCGGAACGTACCTTGTTGTAGATGCACTCGTAGAACAAGACTCCCAGTGACCACCAATCTGCTCGCACATCGTATCCCTTGCCGGCGTACACCTCGGGGGCGAGGTAAGCCAGAGTACCAGATTTGCTCGTAAGAGTGCGGCCCTTGACCACGTCGGAAGCAACGTTCTGTCACCGGTTAGCATCACCCTGCTGTTGGGAATCACGGAAACCATACAAAATCAGTCAAATGGACATGTCCATCGGCATCCAGGAGGACGTTGTCGGGCTTGATGTCTCGGTGGATGATATTTTGGGCGTGCACGTATCGCAGGGCACATCCCAGTTCAGCAATCCAGAATCTGACTGCCTCTTCGGTAAATGTCTTTCTCGAGATGTGGAATCGCAAATCGCCGCCCGTCATCAAATCGACTACAAGGTACCTATTGCTGAGTGTGAGCCACTACTGTGTTGCAAGGCGGATAGAGGCCGGACAGGGCGTACATGTATTCAATGTCCTGGAAACTGTATCTCAAGTTGCAGATGAAAGGGTGGTTGACGTATTCGAGCATTCGGCGCTCACGGATGATGTTACGGACGCTCTCGGATCGTACGACTGTGGGAATAGCATCGCAATTAGCTCAGCTCAAAGACAATAGACATTGCACCACACGGAAAGGCCACGCAGATGATTGCCGGTACAGGCACAAGTGATACGGCTCAGGGGCGTTGTTCAAGGCCAGCGGTAGGACACAACAAGTAGGAACAGAAACCTACCTTCATCTTTACGGATGTATTTGAGGGCAAAGGACAAATTGGTGTCCTTGCGTTCGACGATTCGAACCTTTCCAAAGGCGCCTCGGCCGACGACTCGCAACAGGCGGAAGTGATTGAGGTTCACTGTAAGTGATGTTGTCAGTATAATCCCAAAGACATTTGTTGTACAATTATTCGGTCAAGTCGTGTTGTTGCAAATACGGGGTCCAACGACGACAGAAGAGGTTCGCGCCATGCACGGCACACGTGGGAAATCGGACGGTGCCAAGGGACTTGCGGCTGAAGACGAACGACTAGAAGGAGGAAGAGGCGATGGAAGAAGGCGAGGACCAAAGGATCGGGGCAAGCGGTAGGTGGTTCACGTACCTTCGCCGTTGAGGTCGACGGGCTTTCCCTGGCCGTTGCCCATCGTGAGGGGATGGATGTGGTGGACGACGTTGAATTATCGTGATCGGTAGCAAAGTCCCATGCTGAGTCTCGAGTTGTAAGGAATGGAGCACGAGTGGAGTCGGAACGCCGTGGCAGTATCTCGCAGGGGCACTGTCTTTGTGTGTGATGTATGTACTGTAGTAAAGAATGCTGTGACGACGTTGGCGACGATGATGCGAGGCAGAAGCAAGCCCAACTCAAAAGTCAAGTCAGCAGCAAACAAGGCTGGGGCGCTTGTGAAGTTGGAATCGGGACTTGGTGGAAGCAGGGTCTGGTTTGGTTTGGGCCTTGGCGGGCGGCGCAACCACGGGAGGCGAGACGAGGCGAGATCGGCTCTGCTGTGCAGCGCAGTTGGGGTGATCGGTTCGCTTTTGGGGATGTCGTCGGAGGATGTGGCGGCGGGAAGAGCAGGCAATTCGGGGAGGGCGTGCGACTTTGTTTGGGGGGAGGGGACCTTTTGAGGGGGAAAAGGAGGACGAGGAGGGGGCTTGTGGAGGCGTTTTGAGGATGCCAAATTGCTTTGCTCCGGGACTTCAAGAATGAGGTCCCGTTGGTAGATGCCGATGATGGCGACAAAACGATTCGTTTGGCGATGATGACGGGGTGACGTTTAGGCGTTTGCGATGTGCTTCCAGCGATGTTCTAGATGTCCGTCTGTACGGTATGGCAACGCAGCGAGTCCAGTCGAAGAAGCAAGCAGCAACTCTGACAGGACGGGACAGTCAAGGAGGAAGAAGGAGAGGAGCCTGGTCTGGCCCGGTAGGAGAGTCGCAAGTGGAAGGGAGGGGGGGAGGCTAGTTGGGTCCGTTCTAAGGTCTGAGGGTTGGAGGGTCTCGACAGAGTGAGCGAGGGTGCTGGACAGGACAGTAGTAGGTGACTTTTTTCTGGAGCAACCTCCAAGCGTCGAATGGCAGGCAAATAGGCCAGAGACAGCGACAAAACAGTAGAAACTGAACAGACGGCCACGCCGTCAAAGGACGATAATCCCACTCAATTTGCCAGCCAAGCACCGCAGGTCTCTAGGTACCCCGTCTCGACTCGACGCTGAGGTGCCCTCAAGAGTACGACCGAGAGACAAGTCTGGTCTGTGCCAACGTACCTAGCGGTCCGTACGGTTCTAGTTCCCTTGCAAGAGACGAGGAGCACGGACAACCGCAGGGCAGGGGTCCAGAAGTGGTGGATGATTTGAGTGAGTGTAAGAGAGGTACCAACGAGGTACGTACAAAACAGGAGCAGCAACGCAGCAACGCAGCAATCACTCTCGACGGCCGGGAAGCCAGGTCCAGAACAGAAGGGATTGTCGTTACTGGCGTAGCCGTAGACGACTTGATGACGGGAGAGCCGGGGCCATGTCAATGGGATGGGCCAAGTCAATGAACGGATGGCGTCGAACCTGGGGGGAATGTGAGAATGTCACCAGCTCATGGCGGCCGTGTAAGACGAGCCTGACTGCACTCCACCGCAACCCGCCAGCCAGACTTGACTTGACTGCTCATGCTGGTCCAAACCAGTAGGGGACGACTGCCCGAGGATGGATTACTGAACTGTCCTGGGTCAAGTGTAGAGTGCCAATGAACGCTATTGCGGCGCGAGCACCTAGACCAGGGCGTATCGTGGCCAGGCGTGGGCTAGAGTTAGAACCAGAGGTACAGCGGTACAGCGGTACGTGGGACAGGACGGAGCTGGTCCAGCTTGGGTAAGGCGGGTGAAGCCAAAAGCTGCCTGGCCTGGGCCTGAGTGGGAAGGATGGGATGCAATGGCTGAGACCAATGGCATGGGGACTCATGGAGATGGGACAATCAATGCCATGGAGATAATGGACGTTGATGGGTTTCAGTGGACCTGAAGCCAACCTGAGGCAGGCACCTTCTGTTTGTACCACAGGACATCCATCTCAGCCCGGGTGCCTGCATGTACTTGATGCAGGCAGCAAATCGTATGTCACGGGATTCTCGTTATTTCTGCTCCTCTCCAGTCTTGCCTCGCCTTTCCACCTTATTAGCATGGATTGTCGTCTCGCTATTCCCGGCCCCGTGCCCGTCTGCTGGCTCAGAGTTGAGTTCATTCACCGCAGCCCCAGACCGCGACAAGGGTCCTGACTCTTTGCCCGCTGTTGCTGCCCGTACCCTTGCCCCGTACCGTTGAATTGGGGGATGGGGGAGGGTGTCCAACGTCCCTAGGTGCAGCCGACCTGCAACACAGCCGGTCAGTGATAATCATCGATACGTCAGTCCCCTTTTCATCAAATGCCTTTGTTTTCGTGATCCTTTTTCTCTTCTGCAGCCACCCAGGGCCACTGGCTTGACGGTCCTTTTACCCTTTTGCTGTCCCTCGGCGTGTCCGAGGTGGGAGCGCTTGCGGGGAGTCGGCGCGTGGCGGACAGAGCCAGTCTAACCACTGAACAGCTTGACAACTCCCGGCAATCAGTCCAGGGAACCCAAGCATCGAACGCCTAGGTACCCCAAGTACCTATCGACGCATCCTCAATCTGGGACCGCTCTGGTACGCCCCTCGACCCCTGCAACCAGACCGCATAGCGCCCAATCGCCGGAGCGTTTCCCCTAAATCTTACATTGTCGACCTTCAACGCGCACGATCTACATGCCGGTACATGCGATACCTTCTCGGCGGGTCTGCGCGCCCACTAGCTCCAGCACCACCGGCTTGCCTTCCTCGTGCGCTCCTCGTGCTCTCCTCGTGCTCTTTTAGCCAATTGGACCCTCATCCTAGTGTACCCCCAATCGCCGTCAACCACACAGGAACCCAGGCTGGCTGCAGTTTCGATGCTGGGAACCGACACAGGACAGCTGCTTGCTTACCACCGAATCCTGATATCAAACTCCTAAACACGACCAAGACCGTCAGGGTGGGAAAGGATCTACTGAGGTTCAGCTTTGGCTGTGACGCAGTGGTGGTCCCTTGCTTAGGCTCACCGGAGAAACATCCTTTTCTGTCTCCATGCCTTAGTACACATGACGCCGGTTGACGATCATGCCTATGTATCCTGTGTCAAAACTGTTGTTGCTTCAGGATGCGCCATGGTGTCTTGATCTGCTCGTTACGCAGCACCAACAAGAGAAACAACAGAGTTGGCGTCGTCTACGGGCGCCACGAAGCCACAGGGACCGGCAACCGTGGAGCGGCGGACACGCGGCGATCAAGCCCTCTGTCAGCCTCCGGAGATCTGGAGCTCGTCACGTCGTGTTGTTGGTCAGCAACCTCGTCTGCCACTCTTACTTGTGTCCCAGACTGGCCTTTCACATCTGTTACCGGCCGCCATGTCCATCGTCACCGCAACCAATACCCAATCCGCTGGGCCGCTGGTGTCGATGGGACAGGCTCCGATCTCCTTCTTTCATCTGGCCCCTGCATGAATCCCCAACCATCACAGTCGTACAGCGCGTCGACACGGTCAGCTTGGCGGCTCCCTTTCTTCAGGAGCACACAGCCAGACCGGATCTGCAGTGCGACCCAGCATCGTTCTGGAAGATTTCGGTTCAAGTGTCACTGCAGCCCCCTTACATGTGTTGAGACGCCCTTCATATGCAGATAAGCGACGGAGATGCCCGTGGCGGACTGCCATGGGATGGTTGTGCTGAGTGACCTTGTGGCGCCTCCATCTTAACCAAGGTAGGCATTCCCGTTGCCGCGTTCCGGTGCTAACGGCAATGCCTACTCCCTTTGGTCCTTGCCCTCGCAGCTTGAGAGAGCCAGGGAACAGCCCAGCAGGTGCGTGGAAACAAGCGATGGCTCACCGGCTACGATACAGGCTGATATAGGTACAAGCACCATGGCACATGTACAGGCACAGGCGCAATCATTGCCCACCCGCCACGCCGACCCCTTGCTCCCACATGATTGTGGAAATAACGGCTGCCGATGGCACCAAAAAGCAAAACCACATTTCAGGTCCCCTGCTGCAACGGCGCCACCTGGCTGCTGCAGCCAACCACTTCCAGAAGCCGCACAGAGCAGATGAACCAGCCAGATGTCCCGAGGCGTTTCACAGCCTGCATCCGCGGTGTTCCAGCCAGCCTCTGACGGGCGAGCGTCATAAGTGGCAGAAGTTGCAAGGCTGTCGTTATCCTGAAAAACGTTTCCGAGGGCCTGTTGACTCGACCCATGCCCGCCGATCCTCCTATTCTGTGACGCCGCAACCGCCTCCTAATCTCGACATTTACTCGTAGATATGGCATCCCGTGGATTCGAACCTCGTTTGCACTTGAAGCCATTCCTTGGCCAGAGTATTGCTATGTGTGCACCCCGGTGAGAGGCATGTGAAGATGGCTCCCGACTGCGCCGAAAGCTCGACCAAGGCGGCTACCAACAGGGTCCATCCTGACAAACGTCACTTTAGCGAGTACCGTTTTCCTTCAACTTGGCGAGGTATTAAGATGATGAATCCATCCAAAGGCGGGCCAGTTTTGCTACTTCACTTTCACAGCCAATGGCATCGCCATGCGGGGAGATGCCATGGAATTGTTCTAGAAAACTTCAGCTCAAGAATGGGCGCCTCTCGGGCAATGCCGCCGGCTGTCAATAGGTTGGCTGCCTTAGCCCAGACCAAGAGCCTCACTTCAGATCTCGGATCTCCGCGCAGCATCTCGGCCGTTGTCCGTCTGGTCGCTTTTTGCTTTTTTTCTCTTGCCATGTGCTGGGAATGCTCTTGGGTTACGTCCTCCATTCAGTGCGAGTATCCTGAATACCAAAAGAAAGATGACAGGGTCAGACAACTTACACTGGCGGAACCGCCGGCTCTGAAGCTGTCAAAGAAACTCCCGAATTTGACAGCACTTTAACCACGTATCTGGCTTCTTCACTGGGTTGGAGCAGTGGCGTGATTTGGTACTGCACTGGCCGTTTAATGAACCAGGAGACGGGGCATGTTGGTTACAACACCAACAGTCATGCCAAATCCGGAGTGCCTCACCGCTACCATCAACATCTGCGGGTTCCTAGAGCGCCAGGTTTGGAAGTGTCAGATCTGGCAGCCTCCATACCAGGGCTTGGTACAGGTTGGTCCGGGGTTGAGATGAGTGTCTCAGATCCTACAACTCTACATAGTGCCATTATAGGGAGCCTGCGAGCCGGTTTGGTGCTCGTGATGATCGATCCGGGAAGGCGACGGCATCGAACCACTCGTCGTTGTTTGCCTCAGTGGTCTTTCATCCGGACTACCGGACGGTTTGCCATTATCGTCACCGACTTTGTTCGTGCCGCCTTGTTGTTCAACTTGATAGCCTGAAGCTTGGATCGACGAGAGGTCAGGAATCGCGGCTGGCAATTTCATCTTCTGCCACGTCTCGATATGTCGGCTGAGATGTGGGTTTCCAGTTCAGAGCACAGGACGTGTTTGGGGCCCCGGATCCGCGATGGCTTGATTGTCGCTTGTATTGGACCTTCCGCTCTGTCACGATCGGGGTGAACCAACAGGATCGAGGATCTTGGGGAGGTTGAGTTGCATGTCCCAGTCTTGCAGCTTACAGGCGACACTGGGGTTTCCCTTTGCAACCAAGCAATGCTCGCTTCGGGGCTAGTCTCAATTGTGTTGTCGATACCTCACTTGAACAACCGTACGACTGTAATGCTATACAGCCCCTTTAAGCGATGTCAAGACCCATGCAACGTCGGGGTGCTGGAAGGGTTGACGACCAGGGCCTGGCGCTTGGCAACGGCCTAACATTCATCAGACCATATCTTGGGTGAAGCAGGTGCTTTGTCGAGTGGGAGAGTCTTTTTGACTCCTACACAGCACGATAGTATTGCTAACGAGAACGGAATCCAGCTCTGAAGCTCAGCAGGCCCTCATGATGTCTTAATGTTGAAACTATGTAGTTAAGTAGTCAAGTAGTCAAGTAGTCAAGTGGATATGGGTCATGGCTATCCACAATCCAAAGTGATGACGATGGCTGTCACTTACACCAGAGGTGACAGTTCGATGACGTCAAAAGAAGTTCTCGATCGAAATAACTATGTTTGATCTCGGAAGCCCCAAAGTAGTTTTCTTTTCAGATTTACCAACTCAATTGACCAGAGAGTCTATGCCTTGATGTTCAAGTAATCCTACAGCTTCAATTGCATTCACATCATCACCATCGCCATGCCTCTCTTCCGTAACGTCCTCCGCGCGACTCAAACCACCGTCCGCCCTCTCCACACGACTTCTCGACTACGGGTGCCCTACAAGGACTCTCAAGACCGCGAATCGCTGCGCCCGGTGAGCAACGAGAACACAAAGTCTGGGCGTGACGAGCAGATGACTAGCGAGCACGCTGATACGGCCTTTGACCCCAACACGACACGACCAGAGGAAGAAGCTGCCCAGACACGGCAAAGCACCAGCAAGAAGGGCCCTGAGGGCGAAGATCCTCTGCACGCGAGCGGTGCGAATCAAGACATTAGCAAGCCGTTGGGAGATGAGAATACGATCAAGAAGACTGGTGCTGGGAAAGAGACATCCAAGGGAGGGGCAAGCCGGAAAGGAAGTGCGTCAAAGAAGGGACAGCCGAAGAAGGCGTGAGTTTGGGAACTACAATGGAAGTCAAGGGGTCTAGTGCAAGATGGACGACTTTTTGGAGGAGACGCTGGAGTTCGGTACTCAGGGCTACCGTTGACTCGTGGATGAGTCGGTTACCAAGGCCATATTCTCTAATGAACGAGCTACGGCTATAGTGCCAGGCGAGACTACCAATACCAACCTGTGGCTATGCCTTGACACAATTTTAATTATCGATATCTGCTTGATGGGTAGCAGTCATCAAACTGAATAACCACATCCCTCACGCGGTCCAAGAACAAGACGAGATACTGAAAGGGCAAAGTGCCTCAGACTCTTAGGTAGGACCCCTAGTTTGTGAGGAAACAGTCCATCTAAAATGTGAAAAGAATTCGGAAAAAATATGATTTAATCCTCAGTACTCTATAAATGCTTTATTCTTTCCTTAGGCCTCATCGCTGGGATGGCTCCGTTGATCGGCCCCACATCTCCGTCCTCCTCTGGCAGGTCTTGAGCAATAGGCAAGAGAGACCCTGGATGACTTCTGGTCCCTGTCTCTGTTGGGGTGCAGGTGAGACTCATTCGTTATGGATTATTTCTTCTCGGAGTTGACACTGTTAAATCTAGGCATCTTCATCATCAGCGTCAACTACTACCTCCTAACCAACTCACTCCCGACGATTCAACTGATCGTTAGTATCAACTCTGGTATATCCTCACTCACACAACAAGTCTCGAGATTTCTTTTTTTTTTGGCAATTTCTGAGATACCCTAGCCCAACTTGAACAAGAATGTCCACTGATCAGTTCAATATCGAAGAATTTCTCCGTCAGCGCGAAGAGGAAATCATAAGCTTCCTAGCTGCAGGACCGGACCAAGATGAGGAGGCTAAGGCTGGTCATATCGCCGAAAGGATCGACGAAGCATTCCGGGGATTATGGGCAAGAGAGTCCCATAACGCGAGCAAGATCAGAGAGTTCCTTCGGCGGCTGTGGAACCTGTTCATCTCTCTGGCGTCCGAGATAGACCACGAGGATGAGCGCCTCGACATGCTTGTGCGGCTATTGAGACGGCTCCAACATCAGGGCCCCGTTTTTCTGCCATGGCTTCATTTTCCAGTGGTGTGGGAGCATATGCCCCTGTTTTGGGAATGTTTGCGAGATGCCGCAGGCTGTCAGTTTTCCATTGATGCTTTTTCACAGCTGTTATTGGGCTAACAAGTTAACCAGCTTCCCTTGTGAATGCTATTCTATCTTCTCCGGCCAGATGGGTCTCTCTGCAGTCCCTATTTGCTCGACTCTACGGCTAGCAAATCGTGAGGTGTCACAACTTTGGCGTCTGGGTGCTGCGTGAAGCGCTGGAAGAAATGTTGCCGCCTGGTCCCGCACAAGTTGTGATGCTGGAGGGGGTATGCCAATAGATTCAGCATGCAGGTCCAGCCTTGTTCATGGAAACCCAGTCTAATCAGAGGCTGACGGACCATGAAGCCCAGGTGCTGAGAGTCGGCGGGTCTGTGGAGGGCGTAGAGCCTGGTGTAAACAAGCCTAGATGGGAATTTTGGCGGCATAGGCTGGAATTTCTGGGGTACGCGTCGGATGGTAGGGTGAGGGAAATGATGGAACATGCTGTGGAATACATGATACAGCTGGAAGAAGGGCATACCTCGATGCACTTGAAGCGACAGAGGGTAAAGGACTGGTTGGCGGGGTTGGAGGTCGAGGATGAACAATCAGCGGGTGACGGTTGATATACAGACACGCATCAAGTGGTAGAAGCAAGCGGTTATCCATAGATTCAATCAATGGGCACAAGAAAAATGTGCAATCGTGTTCATCATGTCGGTGTAAATGCCGAAACCTCCCATGGCTCAAACTCCCAGACGCCAGACTCGTTGATGCATAAAACGACCAAGTGATGCCTTTCAAGCGTACATCATATCTCCATCCTCCTCCTCGCTATCTTCGACGATTGGAACCTCCTTCTTCTTGGCCAAGTCCTGGCGACACATGGGACAGGTGCCCTTGCTGCGCAGCCAGGGACCGACGCACTCGAGATCGAAGCGGTGGGCGCCGTTGCAGGGGAGCTCGACGACGAGGCAGTATTCATCCTCGAGGTAGGGTACCTTGCAGATGGCGCAGTCGTCGTCCTTGTCGAGGGTCTTGCGGTTCACTCGATCAAGAGAGTCGACAAACTCTTGCGACACGCCGCGCAGACGAGTGGGAGGATCATGGATATCGTCCTCAAGCGAGCTAATTAGGGACTCGAGGAACTCGCGGTTGCCCTCGGTAGGAGCGGTGACGTGCAAGGTCTGCAGCTGATCCTGTAGGAGACGGAAGAGGGCGGCCGTGTCGACGGGTGTGGGCGTCGCGTGCGGGTTGTGCTGCGGGGTCTGGTCGCCCGAGGGCTCCGAGAGCTGGTTGAGGAGGGAGAAGAAGGAGGCCATGTCGACGCGGCGGCCAGAGCGACGAGGCTCGGCGAACTTGACGTTGTGTTCAACTTGAGGGTGTTAGTAGAGGTTTTGCGATGGATGGAGGGGGAGGGGTTAATACCTTCGTATTGGGTAGCCATTGCGAGTATATAGCGAGTAGCCAGGTATTTTAGAGAGTATTGGTGCTTAGTGAGGTGTATTATTTGCAAAGGAGAGCAAGAGCATATAAGTGGAGGGTGTAAGCGACAAGATATCGTCGTGGACAAGTTCAAGTCAGACGCAGGCAGAAGATGATGTCGCAAGTCAAAAATCCACAGACGTCGGAAGTGGGGAACTTGTAAAGAGCTTAGCAGCTTGGACCCCTGCGGACCGGACCACTGAAGCTTGGCGCTGAGAGGGACGAGATAGAGGTCAGCACTTGAGATCTTGGGACTCGATTAGATGCTGACAGCTTCACTTACACGTTCTTTCATCTGATGTATTTTGGAGTAAAGTATCATGCATTAAATTAAACCCACTTCAACTGCCTGAGCCACTGTTTTGGGTCTTGTACAGTTATCACATGTTAATAAACCAGCTGATATCAGCCAGTAGGTGTCCTGTAGAGGCCCCTCCCGCATGGCGTCACCACCCCGAAAGTCCGCTCCGCCCGGGGTTAGTATCTCTCGATTCTCTTGTCTCCAGCCTGATTCAAAGTTTCGTCTCCTTCTCACACCATATATAAACCGACGTGTTCTACTCTCGCGTCTTGATGGTCGTTTCTCGTCTTGATACCCCTGTTTGATACCCACCGATAAAAGCTTTTTGCAAAGCTGCTAACGATAACAACCTCGAATCGACAAGCACATCATCGAGAATCACGCACAATGGCGACTCCTCCTTCTGCTGCCATCATCGGCTCTACCGGCCTCGTCGGCGGTCACATCCTATCGACTCTCCTCGCCGCCGAGACATTTACTCCCGTCCATACCATCACCCGCCGCGCACCCAAGGCCGAATCGCCTCGCCTCGACGCCGTCGTCGACGCAGACACCTCCAAATGGGCTGGTCTTCTGTCCGGCTTCGCGCCCACACCCTCAGTCGTCTTCTCCGCCCTCGGAACTACACGCGCTGCAGCCGGAGGACTTGCCAACCAGTGGAAGATTGATCACGACCTCAATGTCGAGCTTGTCAAGGCGGCCAAGGCGGCTGGTACAGGAACCTTCGTCTTTATCTCGAGCGCGGGTACGCGGGGCTTTCCCTCGAGCATGGCGCCGTACAGCAAGATGAAGAACGGCGTCGAGGACGCAATCAAGGAGCAGGACTTTCAGCAGGCCGTCATCCTCAAGCCAGGCATGATCCTCGGCCACAGGGAGCAGGGCCGCGCGCTCGAGGGAATCTTTCAGGGAGCTGTCAACGGGATCGGCAAGCTCAGCACCGCGGTAAAGGATGCTGTTGGTCAGGATGCCGAGGTGATTGGCAGGGCGGCTGTCAAGGCTGCTCAGCTGGCCGCTGAGGGTAAGGCGCCCAGCAAGTACTGGGTAGTCGAGGCGGCCGACATTGTCAGGTTGGGACGGACAGAGTGGGCGGACAAGAAGGTCGAGGAGGAGGTGAAGGCGCAGGCGTAGTGAGACGGATGAGCTGTCTTGGATCTACATCACGATCACTTTTATGCGCTGGCAGATGCCGTCACACGCTCCTTTTGCTCTCGGACTCGAAGCCCGGAGATGCTACACGACGTTACGCTGCCTTTTACACCCACCAAGTTGTCCTTGTGTTTTTCAAGAGCATGCGGATGCTCATGTCTGGCGGGTTTGGCCTCCCATAAGGTCAAGACTTTTCTAGTTTCTGATACCATTGTTGGGGGAATTGCGTGAGAGAGGACGAAATTGACGAATACCAGAGAATATCAGCAGGGAAGACTTACCAGGGAGAGGAGAAATTATATCAATATCCCATCTATCAACTCATCGTATATGGCTTCAAACTGAGAGTGAATGTACGAGTGAGACAGAATGACTTGCTACTGCACGTATTATTATTAGTCGAGTCAGCCCGTCCCGTCCATCTTTGCGCCAGTCTTACAAAGCAACCATCAATCTTATCTCCACTAAGGTAACTAGAGATATATACCTCTCTTTCTCTCCCCCCCCCCCCCCAAGCTCTCATCTCAACGGCCAATTGAACAAGAAAGCCACTATCTAAGAGCATAGTAAGCACACGGAAGACAAACCCTCCGAATCTCACCGCACTTCGGCGTCCCTGACACTTCCGCGCACCGGTTTTCTTGCCCCGCGCTGAGCCCCACCACTAAACGCTCATCATCGCCAGGCCTCCATCTTCTTCTATCAAGTTCTCACTCTGAGATTCACTTGCTCACTTACGAGAATCTGTCCACGGTGAGAACTGAAACTCTATACACTTGTGTAGGACACAAGACTAACTTGAACTATAGCTTTTGGTCAATGTTTTTTGTATCGTGAGAGTCAACCTCTTGGCTGTGAGCAGAAACATCAGACTAGTTATCACCGACTTCGAGATAACAATGTCCTCTCGTCCTTCCATCGTCGGCCCTGATGCTGGGCCCGACGCCCCTTATCCTCTCCACATGGAAGGCAATGTAATCTCTGGTTTTGGTCGGGGTTCCAAAGAGGTTGGTAAACACTCTCACTGTGAAGGATCAAAGACTCACAACGACCTCAGCTCGGCATCCCAACTGCCAACCTCCCCGTAGACGCCGCCCTCACCCCCTGGATCGCTGATATGCCCTCGGGAGTTTACTTTGGCTATGCCTCTCTCGCACTGCCCAGCACGCACCCAGATCACCCCGATGCGACGACATCCAAGGACGCTCCCAGCAGCAACGAGGCGGCTCTCCTAGCCTCTGCACCTCAGAGCAACCCGCCCTTCCACATCTTCCCCATGGTCATGTCCATCGGCTACAACCCCTTTTACAAAAACACCGTCCGTAGCGCCGAGGTCCACGTCCTACACAAGTTTACTGCCGATTTCTACGACGTGCCTATGCGTCTACTCATCCTTGGCTTCATCCGTGAGGAAAAGGACTACAAGAGCCTAGACGCTCTCATTGAGGACATCAACTTTGACTGCGAGGTTGCCAAAAACAGTCTCGCACGCGAGGGCTGGGTGCCGTCCAAGGGGCGTGTCATTGGTGGTGCAAGTCTTGATGGGAAGTTGGATGCTCAGTGGCTTACTCGGAACGCGTGATGGACGGATAAGCCGTCGTTTAGATAGATGAACAAGGCAAAAGGCACGAGGAGTTATGGATAAACAAATGGATATAGAAGATACAAGTCTTTCAACACCCCTTGCATTTCATTTCTCGTTTCGCTCTCCTAGTCACTCACTAATCCGGGTATCGTGCGAAACCCTCCTCTGCAATATCCAACAGCAACCGGCATTAAACCATGTACATGAAACTGCATCGCATCATGACTAGTCTCCCATCTAGGGGAACATGCTCTGTCTGGTCTCTCTTCCGGTCTAGGGCCCCTCCCTCGAGGGCCAGGAAGAGAGAGGGTGTATTCTCATAGAAAAAGAACCTCCCGTCCTGCACAAAGTAAAGGGAGAATGAACGTATCATCAAGGTCTCAGCGGTTTGCTTCATTAGACTGCGAGTTGCTGAGGTCCTTGGTCAGGTAAATATCGTGGCAAAAACTAGACAATGTTAGCCAACCATTCGTTCACAACCTGTCATTCATCACAGCAACTCACATTTATGATAATCATCATGGGAATGTCAAAAACATCCCGTTTAATGGTCCAGCAATAGGTGCATTCCACCTTGCCGTCCTTCTCGATCCTCGAGATGCCGTGAGAGCCGTCGATTCGCGTCACTCGGCTGCTGAGAATACCTGGTTGCGCATCTTTCTGGGAACCTGGCTCTTTCTGGTCCGGGTCTTGCGGTGCTCGGTACTTGTTGAGTCGACAGCTTCGTTGTACCTTGCCTCGGCTATCCTCGAATGCGAGTTGTGAAAAGTCTTGGTAAAACTCGACAACACTATCGTCGTCTAGCAGCTCGCCTAGGAACACGGGCTGAGGTCGTCCACCGCTGAGGTCAAGCATGGCTCTCTGCGGTCGTGGTGTCGTCATCTCGCCCTGCGAGTTGTGGTCTGGCGTGTTGGTTCCGTTGGTAGATCGACCGCTGTAAACATTTACGTTGAGATTGGGCTCCTTTCCGAGCAATACATCCTTTGTCCACCCAGTCAGCGCTGTGAATTCCTTGTTAACGGCGGCAACTTCTCCCGATCTTCGACAGACGATCGTAGGGGCACAGCAGTGCTGGAGGAAATCGTCGTACTCGACCAAGGTACGCTGGAAGCACTTTTCCATAAAGACGAGATCTTGTCTGGTCAGGTCTTTGGTGCAAGAGATGAACGACGGTCGGATCTCGCCAAGCGCTTTGGCGATCCGCAGCAGCTTGTTACCGGGCAGACGATTTCGGAGGACGGCCACCATGTTGTGGAATCCCGTGGTATAAGGATACGGCTCCTTGACGCTCTCGTAGATGGCGGCAGAGTCTCGTTGCCTCTTGCCGAGGATCGATTTGGGGCCAGCCTTGTTGTGTTTCGGCCTGGGTCGTGTCGCCGCCGGGACCGTTGGGATACCAGCAAAGTTGTGGTTTGGTGAACCATCCATGCCCGCAACCGAGTGCGGGCTTGCTGTCGTGTCCGTACTTGGGCTGGCAAGGCTCGTAGGCCCAGCTGCAATGGCATAAGCATGGGGTAGTCCGTGCTGGAGGTTGCCCTGCGCATATAGAGACTGGTTATTTTGGTCCATACCCGAGAAGTCGGCCCCCAACATGGGATGATCAAAGCCGTTGTTTGCGTTCCCGAACAGGGCGGCATAGTTTGCCTCAGTCGTTGGAGTTTGTGACATGGAGTTCTCCCGCGGAGGCGTCTCAGCGCCGAGGGCCATCTTGTTGAGGATGCCAAACTCCCATCCGGCGTACTGACTACCAAAGTTGAGACCTTCAAGATCAAAGTTGTAGAGGGCAGGGTTACTTGGATCAAAGAGGGCATTGAAGTCCATGTTACCTGCAGGCATCATGTTGTTCATGGGCGTGTGGGCGGCATTGTTGATTGGGCCTTGGAATGACGTCGGGGATGTTTGAGGGTTGAAAGATGGTAAGCCGTCGATGGCAACCGGGGTCTGGGCACCAGCCGAGTAGACAGGTAACGACGCGGTGCTTCCCTGGGAGAAGAAGTTGCTGCCCGTGGCCGACAGGTTATCCGACTGACTCGAGCTGTGGCGATGGCCGTTGGTTCGCGAGGGCGTAGGGGTAGGGTTGTAGTTGGGACCGAGGACAGGTCGAAGGGCCTCCGGGGGAGCATCATGGAGATATTTGGCCTTCTTGCGGACGCCATCCTGACAAGCATCGGCGAGGCCTCGCTTGATGCATCTCTGGCATGGTCTCTCATCTCCTATGGGAAGATGTCAGTTTTGAACCTTGCTTATGAGGTACGCCCATCTCAACCGTCGACCCCTTCCCATGAAAGAAAGGGGTAGCAGAGCAGAGCCATAGCCGCAACGCTGGTCGTTGACTGAGGCAACTGAAAGGTCAAACTTCACTAGAGAGAGAACCCGCATCATGATAATCGACACAAAAGCACGAGGCCAAGATGGCCGTCGCAAGAGGACTTACCACAAGTCAGATGAGCCCGCTGACACGCAAAGCACGCCCTCCGCGCCTTTTTCCTTCTGGGGCGCAGGGGGTCCTTGGGGTCGTACTTCTTCTTGACCTCGGTGGTGCTGTCGGTGGTGCTCTGCTCCGTCATCTTCTCGTCGTCCTTGAGAAAAGTCTCGGTGTCGTCCTCGTTCTCAGACATGACATCTGAGACCTCAGCACCGTTCTCCTCCATCTCGTGCGGCATGGTGTCTTAGGTTTTATATACAGGCCTGGGGCCGACGCGACGTATGCGACGGCTGGAATATCCTCCTCTGAGCCCGAGGGCTTTACCTGGGCTGCTGCACAAAGAGCGGCCCGGAAATGCAGGCTCCGAATCCCCAGAAACTTTTGTTTCTCTCTCTCTCTTCTCACTCACTCACTCTCTCTTGTCCCCCTTTCAGATACCTTTGCGGAACCACACCTATTCAAGCCTCAGTGGCACAGCCAAGAAGGGGCAGGACCGTCGTCGAATTGGAGTCGCGATGTGCGCTGTTCACAAGGACAACAACCCCCCACGGTGGCGTGGAAATGCGCGCAGGATTTCCCCTGGATCGTCGTTGATGCCGACGCCGGCGCGTGCTATGTGCGTGATGTAAGATTGGGAGCAAGCCTCAGGCCGGGCGGCTGCGCTACGCTGAGCTGCGGTAGGACGGGTTATGGCGTTGGGCGCAAACGAGGCCAGAGGGCTGTATGCACCTATGGTTATGTGAGCAAGCCTTGGCCAGGACGAGACCGAAATTGGTCGGTCAAGCTCGTATTCTGGACGGGGTGTGCTCGGATGAGGCCCAATGGAGTCCACAAGCAGAGTACGCAAAGAGGCGTTCTTGTGCGACGTAGAGGCAGTCGATAGCAAGTCGCAGGCGTCGTGAGGCTGCAGGTATCGTCACCGAAGAGGCCAAGGATGTGTAAGAGTCACGGCTCTGATTCGACCAAGGCGGGGGTGGGTTCGATGATCGCCGGGTACAAGACACTCGCGGTCGAGGTTGTAGAAGGGGTATTAGAGACCGGCGCAAGTCGAGGCGACACGACGGAGGGCGGGCGACACGGGAGACAAGGCGACGGGCGACGGACGGACGATGACGAGGGAGGGGAGAAAGAATAGGATGCAGCTACCCGAGGGCCATGAGGGTTGGCTGCACCCAGCACCGGCCAATCTAGCAACAACGCGCACTACAGCGGCTCACACGGCATCGGCGACCGTAACAGCGGGCTGTGGTGACAGCGTAGCGTTGTGCAGAGATGAGGCATGCGAACCAGGCGCGGCGCGGGGGAGGGAGGAGGAGCGCCGACAGCGCGGAGGAGGCGGATCGCAAATAGCGAAGAGGTCGAACGGGACGATGTAGAATGAAGGATTGAAGGTTGAAGAGGAAGAGAAGAAGAAAAGTCGGAACAGGAGCCGGCGAGGCGATTCGCAGAATAAATCGTCAGCGGTCAATGGCCGATTCGAGCTCTCAGTCAGAAGCCAGAGGGTCAGGCGATGAGGCGGTGGGCTCCCTGGTGGTTGGTGGACAGCGCAGACGCCACAGGACAGGGCAGGGCTGTGGCAGCTGGATGTGCGTGTATGCTTGCTTGTCTGCGTGTGCGTCTAGGTGCGTACTAGGGGATCCTAGAATTCCAGCAGCAGTGGATGTCGTCGACGTGGGAGTGGGAGAATGTGGATTAGGGGATATGGATATAGGTGGATGGAGGGCGGATAATAGGCCAGGCTGAGGGTACGTGACCAAGGTGGTGAGAATTGTGGGTTAGTTACAACAGCAACAAGGAAAGTCGACGACAACGTTTTTTGTCAATGTCGATGGATGCCCAGACCGAGAATGAGCGCCAGAGCTAAACTCGACTCTGACGGATAAATGGTCCAAGGGAAAAAGCAAGCAGAGAGGAAACGAGGCCCCGGGCCAAGGCCGGCCGAGGCACCGTCGACATGTGCGGAAGTGGGCGGATGATCGCGGCTACGGTCCGTTTAGGAAAGAGAGCGGGTGTGTCGACTCGAGTCCATCAAATGGGAACGCGACTGTGCGGCGCAGCAATTGATGAACTGGCGGAGGCCAATACGACGTGATGATGATGTTGAAAGGCCAGTAGGAGGCTGACACAGGGTGGGTGAATATTTTGGCATCCATCTCATCCTTCCATGATTGCTTTTCCGGCCCCCCCCCCCTGTTGTCATTCATTACAGGTGCGCAGCGCAGAACATAGCCGCACTCACACATGCAGCAACCCCCCTAGGCGGCATGGAGAGTCCTCCACCACAAGGCATGGGTATCAGCGGCAATGAGATTGAAAGAGTGATTCAGAATATTCCCAATAATCATGAAGAATCTAACAGCAAGTGTCGACCCAAGTGGATTTGATAGACTAATATGGCTGATACTGCCAACAGGTTTATGCCTCATCCCCTGCCCCCTTGACTTGATTCGCAATGCGAATTTGGCACCACCCGCTTACACGCCCGGATAGGTAGAACCATCGAAATGGAAAGTCAAAAAAGTTTTGACTGCGGGGTTTGTTCAGTGGAGATGAATGGCCCGCGCCGGGGGGGGGGGGGAGAAACTTGGCGTCGTCCATTGGTCCGATGATGGCTTCACTCCTTCAAGGTTGTTCGTTCGTGCTTTGTACCTGCGACTTTTTGATCACGTCTTTTCTTTGGGTTTGGCGCGCTCCCGACACGTCGGGTTGGGAGCCGAAATGGTAGGTTTCTCTCAGCTGGACTCTGCGATCGAGAAAGTACTCTATACTGCACTCCTTTCTAGAGCCTTCTGTCGCATAGACAGCGCCAATTCAATTCAACCTCAACACCCATAGAAAAGCTCTGACCTCTCCCGCTGAGCCGCCCAGACTGAATCCATTGATCCATCCAGAGGGCCATCACCCCAACCACCTCCTTCGACTCGCCCCCGCCGCTCACTCACCTTGGCCTAGGCCACTGCGCCGTGGATCGCGGACAGGGAATAAGAGAGACGGAAGGATCCTTGGCCTTGTCTGCTTTGCTTGCTTTGGGCCTGGATCTGGACCTGCAACTGGATGCGCCTGGGTTTAGAAAAATGCCCGTCACGCAAGGATCTGGGGGTGATCAACTAACAGAAAAGAAGAACAGCTGTATCCTTTAGATGGGAAATAAATTCACTCGATCTGTGAAAGCTCGAGCGCGGTTGACAGTCCCCAGCCTCCCCTCCCCAGATTTCTTTCGTCCCATTTTCCTCAATGGAACCCAACAAATCGAGAAATTAGAAGCCTAGAGAAACAAACCCCAGTCTGGAGTGGTGATTCGTACCTCGTCGGTGACCGGGGTCCTTGGATGAAAAAGCTAGTGTCGTGTCGTGCGACTGCAGCACCGTTGCGACAAGGTGCGGCGGCGTCGGGCTGATGTTGGATAACTTGGGGACTGCCAGATTATCCTTGGTGCAGCAGCTGCGCGTTTACAAGAGATATCAGATAACAGTTGTCTTTACTCTGGAATCGGACACTTCTCCGGGGATACTTGCTGAGAAGCTCGACATGTTATGCATGTTGTTAGGACACACTCTGATCATGTAAATGACAAGCCTCGCCGACAGAGCCCCAGCATCAGAGCTCACCTCACCGCAGAGCCAAACGAAAGGAAGAGAAAGGCGCCGGCGTCCGCGGTCGATAGGCCGGTGTGGGCGCGGCCGGTGGGCGGCGTCCAAGGTAAGGTACCCGAAACCCGCACAGGAGGACAAAAAAAGACATCAACCGGGGCCTTGATGAGACACACGCACACATACGTACATACGTGACAGGGGGTGTGAAGTGGGTGAGAAATGGTGTTAGTACGTACTTGAAGTGGTTACGGATCCGTACTACAGTTTCTATTAATCACCTTGTTTCCTTTTATTGACGGGTTTACGTATGCGGGGACATGTACTTTACGTACGGCGCACTTGGCAAACAAAAAAAGAAGGAGGAGATTGCAAATGTGTATGTGTATTGCGTACCCGGTGAGGAACTCGTCGAGAAGCCGGCTGGCCGGAGACATGGGACGCGGGGGTGGTTAGATACCGAGCCCGGATGCCGGAGGTGGAGGCGGAGGCGGAAGGCCGCCGAAGAAGGGTGCTCATCGGTGTGTGTGTGTGCCTGCCTGCGCGCGCGTCTGTCTGTGAGCTGTATCAAAGCATTTACAAAGCTTTTCAGGGTTCTCGATTGGATTCTTTTCTATCCAGGGTTCATTTCTTTGATATCGCCGTCCGCCGCTTCCCGTCGGTGGCCGAGGTCTCTTGTTTCCCAGAACTGCCTATTAATGGAATGTGCAAGTGTCAAAAAGACTTCTGTCTCGCGTCATCTTACACCCCCAGACCTTTTCCTCACACCGACCAATCAAGCCCTCAAAGGTAACTTGTTTTTTTTTCTTGCAAGTATCCGCGGTGGTCCCCATCATGTGCAGCCCCAGAACCAGTACCCGTGCCTGATTATCAGTAAGAAGCCGTCAATTGATGAGACATGAGACGGCCCGCCGTCTTGGCGGCGTAAGTCAGAATTACAATACCACGTCGGCATTGTGGTTGTATTTTCAGCTGTGTCCATACGTGGGGAATCTTCATGATCTGAATTAGCTAGGGCAATTAATTAACTAACAAGGTGACGGCTTCATCTTCAGCTCGGTATACCGAGGTCACGTCAGGAACCCCTTGCCAATGGCCCATCTGCTTTCTTTTGGCCCCCTCCTTTCACCACGTTTCTCACCTGAGGAGGCCTTTTACTTTCTTTTTCTTCTCTGTCTATCCGCGTGCGGCTGTGGTGGCCTGCATGACAGCGGCGGCCAGAAAGATTGCACATGGACCCCATGAGCTCGACTTTGGCACATGCTGGGCCACTCTCTTCTTGTTTCTTTTTCCTATTCCACAAGATAATGTGGAGGGCGTGCGCGCTCTCCCCTGTGGTTGGACAGAGCAGCCCGGATCCATGCTGTTGGTTGAAGGAAAACCTGGAGTCGAGGCTGCGATAGCCGAGGAGTTATGGGTCCCCCCCCTTCGTAGATTTCCTAGAGGAGAGGCTCTTTACACCCTTGTTGATCGAGACGGTAGTTTTCCCACCCAGCTCGTGGTTGGTCCGTAGTTGCGCCTCTTTGACGTCTCTAGAGTTCCAGGCTGAGGAGACTCCATCAGCCTGCGTCTTGAGCTGGCATGAGTGGCGTCGTGTCTCTTGTTCGTGTTTGTGTTTTTCAAGTCGGTCCCTGACTTGAATAGATCTGCCTTTTCCTGAATCTGTCTCGGCCACTTGTCTTACAAGCATAGACAGGGCATGGGATCCCACACTTTTGCCGTGGCCACCCGCAGCACCACCTCTGCCAAGTTCTAGACTTGAATCTGAGATGTTGGTTGCTGCCTCGAGGGGTTGAGTATCATGTACGTAGCATACCATATGCTGTCAGAGTCAGGCAGAGTTTATGCCATGGTGCTGCTCAAAAGTCTTGGAACTATTCATATCTGTTCAAGATGTGTTGCCATTGACACGACGCACGTATTCGCATTCAACTGGCTCATCCTGGTCGCATATTCTCCGCTGTGCTGTACATACGTCGTACGCACACAAAGTATACGCGCATTGCATCCCGTCTGCCTGTCTCTCCTCTGCCACAGACGGCATACATACATACATACGACAGAAGGAAAGACAAGCAGGCAAGACAAGGCCCGCTGGTCCTCGGCTCAGGCAGATCCCCCTCCCCTCCCTCTCCATCTCCCCGGATTTCTTTTCATGCAGATCGTCCGTCTCAGGCAAGATACGGCGGCAGGCTCGCCAACCGAGGCCAGATGTGAGTGAGATCGATCGCTGCTGCTGGTCAAGTTGCTTTTGTCTCTACTCAACTTTACACGGAGAGACAAGCAACTGCCGACTCATCCATGGACAAGCCCTCCCCCGCCTCACATCTCACCCTCCATCGATCCCAGGCTTCCCTCACCAGCTGTCAATTGTCAAGTCCCCCCACACACTTCAGCGGCCCGGGCGGGTCTCTCTGTTGAAGATCACCAAGCTTGCTTTTTTCTATATTCGCTGCATTATCCATTACTGTACCCTAGATGAAGGCCCCTCTAGCAATGTCACTGCCCCTTACGCCTCCTCTCTAAAACGCCCATACTCGAGTCTCGCACTCTTTACAGTCTCCGGCGTTGATAGTTACTCCAATAGTCCAGTCCACCCCGCCATGTATGCAAGAAATTCAGTAGACGCCAGCAGCATCCAGCCCCACGAAGCTAGACCTGACTGCCTCTCACCTCCATGTGAAACCCACCCGTCTGCCGCAGCCGCCGCCTTCAGGTCTCGATGGCCCTGAGACCGCAGGGGACGAAACTCTGGTCGCCCGGGGACGCTGCGGTGCCTGGTCCGGTGGCGCGGCGCCGTGGAGGAGCCCTCGCACGTACTTGCTATGCGCTAGACTTGCATGCGCGGCACACAAGACAGGCAAGACGCGACGGTGAGGTGTTGCGTGACGGCTGCCGTGTCCTGCTCTTGCAGACGCCGAGCCCGTCATGACGATGTTGTTTCTTCATGCTCTAATATAACCCAGATGAGGTGCTGTGCCTCAAGGCCGCTTACGATGTAGCGAAGCGGCTGTTGGCTCTGATACGCTTGCCGTACCGGAAAAAGATATACGGGAAAGGCATCATGGCGACCGTCAGAAAGGCCAGCAACGAAGAAGCCCAATGGTAGTTGAGCTTCTCATACATTTGGTTTCCAAAGAGGGGAAACGCGGCTGAAAAATCGGTAGTTAGCACTGATGGTGATCTCATGTCATCCCCTTTCAATCCTTCTCTCAGTTCCTCCCAGCAAATCCTATCGTCTCCGAGTTCCCCGGTGCCCGCAGGAGCAGCGGGACCCGCACTCCGGAACCGGGGGACGACGACGAAGGACGGGCACCGGCGGCGGTGAAGAAGATGGGATGGAAGAAGCGAAGGGGCGGAGAGTGCGGAACAAGAGGTCAACCAACTCACCAGCAAAGGCGCAGCGCACGAATGCATTGGCGGCCAGGGCGCTCGCGGCGTACTGCGGATACGCATCCACCTAGGTATCTGGCGTCAGCACTGTCTTTTCTCTGGCACGAGCTCCCCCAGCTCAGGCCAAGCTTCCCAGCCTTCTGGGTTACCCAGCATACGGTGAGTCTTTGTGCTTGTGTGACGGCAACTCACCAGGAAGGTAAAGATTCCGCTGAAGACGAGGAGTGTCCTATAGGTAGCAAATATCAACCGGTTAGCCGCAGGTCTCTGCTTGGGGGATACGAGATCAGGGAGGACGCAATGGCCATGACCAAGCCGTGACTAAGACCAGTGCACGATCCCGTGGATTTGGTTCCTGTCTCAGCAATGAGACATGGGCCATGTACTCCCCGAGGTTGTGCGAGGCCTGCCAGCCTCAGTTGACTTACCCAGCTCCAAAGATGGCTGCTCCGATGATGGGCACTATCCAGTGAACCCAGGGATAGCAAGACCAGCCGAACATGAAGATGCCTGCCGGCACGAGGATTGAACCTAGAATGGCCGGTGGCAGCCTGAACTCGGGCTCACTCTTGCCCTCGACGCCCGATTCCTCACTCAGTCGGCGGATGAGGTTGACCCGAATACGATGCCACACGGGATCGAGGCCGGCGGCGAGCACCATGCCCACTAGGATACCTAAGAATGTGAGACCGACCTGCCACAGGTTGAAGCCGTAGACGTTGATGAAGACAAGGGGGAAAGCTCCGAAGAAGAGGTACAGTATGCCTAGGAGGATGGCTGAGAAGATACACAGGTTGAGACACATGGGCTCAAAGATGAGGAGCTGAAAGGGGCGAAGAAGGGATCGTCCGATGGCGCCGGCGACAGACTTTTGCGTCTTTTCGTTGGGGGCCTTCCATCTCTCGTCTCCAGTTTCCTTTCGAGTCTCTCTCGCTTTGTTTCTGACCAAGATTGGATCTGTTGATGCCATGTTAGCCCCTAACACTCTTCAACTCGGAGACGACAACTCACGATAAGTCTCGGGAACAAGAAACACAATTCCCAGCAATAAGCCAAACGCCCAGATCAGCAGCACATAGTACGTCCACCTCCAGTCGACATTGTAGTTGATGAATCCACCGATAAGGGGTCCGATAGAAGGACCAACAAACGGTGCGATCGAGAACATGAGCATAGGTGCTTGCAACTCGTTGGGGACGAAGAGATCACCCACGGTGCCGCCAGACACGGCGAGGAATGCACTACCGGCGAAACCATCGAAAAAGCGACCGACAAGCACAGTTTCGATGTTCTTGGCGACGGCCTGAGGAATAATCCAGATAACGTACATAGTCCACGAGACGAGATAGATAGGCCGTCGGCCGTAGAACTCGCTCAGGGGGCTCATGAACAAGGGACCGAGTGCAATACCGAGGACGAACAGCGAAAGGCCCAGCGTCGATACGATACGCGAGTTACCGAACTCGGCTTGCATCTGAGCATATGTCGACGTGTAAATGGAACTAGCTGCGGTTCTGCCACTTGTGAGTGTATTTCTTGGATGTTTGAGATGGTCGCTTACACGCAAAAGCTAGCAAACGACACGATAAAGACAATTATCCACTTCCTCGCCTTGCCGAAGCTGCGCGGACACAGAGGATCTTGGTCGCCACTCTCAAATCCCACCTCGAAGGGGTCCTTCTCTGTCTCGTCCGTCTGCGAGTCCTCGTCAGGATCACAGCTGTATCCGTTCTGAGACCGGATGTGCTGGAGTGCATCTTCGGCCCGCGACTGCGTCTTGGACATGCGGCTCGTCGATTGTATGGGAGCAAAGGCGGGCATGTTCTCCTGGGCGTTGATTGTGCCCGAGTTGGTTGAAGCCTTTTCGACGTCGCGATCCATGGTTGAGAATCAGGGCGATGATACGAGAGCAAGTCTTGTCAATTGAGTCTCCGACGACGACACAAGTCCCGAGGCTTCCATCTCAACTTAAGGGCGGCAGCTCCCCAGTTCAAATACCATCTCCTAATCAGCCTAGTCCAACTTCTTGTTCAGACCTCGCTCTCGTCACTCGGTGTCAAGGGACGCCATTGCATTACTCATCGCTAAACAAGCTTCTTCACCCCACCATGAACATGGAAGGCAACCTCCAACTGCCCAATGGACGGGCGTCGAACGGGGGGCGGCCGCCTGGAGTTTGCTTTGTAACGGCCCGGCCGATGCAGATGCCGTACAGACCCATGTTGGTGGAGGAAAAATCAAGACCCCAGAAGAGAGGCAAGACCTTATCCTCGCCTAAAGGCAGCTAATTATGTGGGTAGAATGTATATAAAATATGACTTCTTTTGGGGTATATTTGGTATTATTTTGGTATATTTTACACGAATATATATGAATGCTTTGAAGGAAATCTACTTTCATTGCTGTTCTGGTGTCTCGTCTTTTCCTTGACACGCGTGTTGCCGTAGCCCGTAAGTGGATTTCGGTCAGGCTGAACAAAGGGTGTTCGATGCCGTAAACTTGCATCGGAAATAGCGGCAGGGCAACGTGCCAAGAATAGTGAGGGTTGTGATTTGAGCAACTCGGCATTTCGGCGAGCAGCTTATCCATTGCCTGACTCGAGCCTGGAAATCTCTAGTTTCCCGCATGCCCGTCCAGGCGCTGGTTCAGCTCCAGGAACTCGCCAAGCTTCACAGAGCTCTCAAGCAAAACAAAATGACATGCCGATATGATGTCATTCGGCTTTGGGCTGCCGTTGAGGCGTGGTAAGGGTTCGGTAGCGCGGCATCAGTCACGGTTGTGTCAGCAGAGGCGCCTGCACTGAAGTGATGATAATCTGTAGGGTAAGCAAGTCCCCTAGCACAAGCGTCGACGATAACCCTGCATGCAATTAAAGAGTCATGATGATATGATCCATGATGGTATCTTTTATCTAAGTGAGTATTCATCAAGAACAAACTTATCTACAGCAACCACCAGACTCTTTCCTCTTTTCTCTGCACTTTTACATCCTGTATTGTTACCCCCAAGATGCACTTTCAAGCCGAAGAATGCAATAACACTCTGCAGAATGAGCTGATAGGCTGCTCACAGGACTGATCCTTGACTGAGCCTGTTTCTCACGCCCGCAGGCTGCAACCAAGGTACGGCTCTTCCAATGCCAATCCAATGTCTTGCTTAAACTTTCCCAACTTCTCCTTTGGTCCTTTAAGCTTATGAATGGATCCTCTTTAGGCTAAGATCGTTGCGACCGGTGGGATTGCGTATTGTTGCCCGCTTCCAAGGTAACACGTGAAACAAACAACTCAATGTTCTGGGCAGAGGAAACAAGACACTCAATCGTACAATTGTCAAGACACGGGCTGACTTGGAACAAGCAGATAAAATGCCCAAGCAAAAGATTAGATTCCTCGACAGCATTGGTCAATTATTTCATCATTTCGACCAAACCCCTCTGTGCAACCCAAGATCCAGCAAGTCGCTCGATTCGGACCCTCCTCACCCCCAACCTCGACCAAGACAACCATGTAACATTCCCCTCGACAAGGACAGTTTCTCTGACACAGACTTATTATCCTGGATGTAAATCTACCTCGTCGTTGATCTCTCTTTTGCGCGGTTACCTCGGATCGCTCCTTTAGGCTATGCCGAGACTCAGCAAAACCCTCAATCCACCAATGGATTCGCATACATGAGCACGCCCAAACGTCATCTCAGAACCTACAAGATGCGGGGAGAAGGCGGGGTTGGAGGGTGAGAGATGTGCTTAAAAGGGGGACATTTCTCTCGAGTTGATGGGATTGAATCATCAGCCCAATTCACTCTGCCTACACAACTCCCCAGCTTTCCCAATTGATTCCCTAGTTCCCCCTTTTCACATCATCATGTCTTCTCAGCTTTACTTCCCCCGCATCTACTCTCTCACCTCTGTCGACCATACTCGGTCCGTCTATGACGAGTGGGCAAAGACGTACAACGAAGAACTCAACCAGAAGAACCAAGACTACATCGCCCCAGCAACAGCAGCCGCCATCGTCCCTCAAGCCTTAGGGACCGCCTCCATCGACAAGGACATTGAGATCCTAGACGCCGGCTGTGGCACCGGTCTCGTCGGATCCTTCCTCGCCCGTCTCGGTGCGAAGAAGGTCGACGGGGTCGACCTCAGCCCCGGGATGCTCGAGGAAGCCCGGCTCACCGAGGCCTACCGCAACCTGGACGTGACAGACCTCTCGCGGCCTCTCTCCGCCCGAGATGATTCCTATGACGTCGTGACCTGTGTTGGCACCTTGACGCAGTCCCATGTCGGACCCGAGGCCATCAGTGAATTCGTGCGTGTCGTGAGACCAGGCGGCCACATCGTCGCCACCGTCATCTCCGAGATCTGGGAGAGCGGCGGATACGAGAGCCATGTGAAGAAGCTCGCCGACCAGGACAAGGTCAAGGTCTTGTCCACCGAGGTCCGAGATTACCGGAGAGGAGCAGGAGCCAAGGCCCGGTACTTGGTGTTGCAAGTTGTCTGATGATGGTGATGATATGACAATGAGTGATGATGATATCGCGTGTGTGTGCGTGTGTGTGTGTGGCCCCTTTCAACACAGGAGCAGCAGGAAAAGTCCGGTTCGAGAGCAAACGTCGACACCCTGGTCCAACAACGGAGACTCTATCCCTCGGCAATGTTGGTGATTGATGACGATGCTGGTGAATCTGAGAAAGTGCGTTGAGGTATTTCGGTTTCAACAACAACGAGACGACAACAACTGCGACATCACGAGTGACCCCGACAAGATATAACGTGAACGGAATCTCTTACACATTCCTTCAACAGATGCAAAACCAAACCAAAGCAAAACATAATATACAAAAAAGGGGCTTCCGAGCCTCTAAACATGTCTATGCCTCCTGAATCGTGACGTATCCTCCATCCAACACCGACTTGTAACCCCCATCTAGATTATACACATCGACTCCCTTCTGCGCCAGAATCCGAAACCCGACGTACGAACGGTATCCGCTCTTGCAGTGGACAATCGTTGGGACTCCTAGCTTGACCTCGTCTGCCCGCTCGCGCAGGTTTACTAGAGGTATGTTCTTGGCCCCCTTTAGATGACCTTGGCTGTACTCTTCAGCACCTCGCACGTCGATAATCTGAAAGTCTTCGAGAGTGCGGGTTCCTCTGGCAAATTCTCCGGCATGGACGAGCTTCACGTCACCGCGGACGATATTGCTCGCCGCAAAGCCAGCCATGTTGACAGCGTCCTTGGCCGCTCCATAAGGAGGTGCGTACGCCAGTTCCAGGTGTTCGAGGTCCTCGACCGTCATACCTGCTCGCATGGCCGTAGCAAACACATCGATCCGCTTGTCCACGCCCTCCTTACCGACGACCTGAGCGCCGAGAATCTTTCCACTCGAGATTTCAAAAGCGAGCTTGACCGTCAAAGGCGACGCTCCGGGGTACCATCCTGCATGCTGAGGAGGGTGCACCGTCACGTACTCGTGCTTGATGCCGAGACGGTCGAGGTTTCGTGTAGAAAGGCCAACTATGCCGACAGTCTTGCCAAAGACCTGGCAGACGGAGGCGCCGAGGTTGCCGCGATACTTGATCCCCTTGCCCGAGATGTGGTCAGCGACCAGCCGGCCCTGACGATTCGCTGGTCCTGCTAGGGCCGTCTGTGCTGGCTGGCCGGTGACGAGGTTGAGAGTTTCAACCATGTCGCCGACAGCGTAAATGTCTGGGTCCGAAGTCTGCATGAACTCATTGACAGAGACCCCTGTTCTTCCCAATTCCAAACCCGCTTCCTTGGGGATGGCAGTCCTCGAGCGGATTCCAACGGCCATGATGACCAAGTCTGCAGGAACAGGTTCCTGTCCTTCAGCAAAGACCAAACCGGGCTCAGAGTCTGAAGCACTGGTGATCTTTGTAACTCGGGCATTGAGCTTGAGGCTGACACCATTCTTGCGGAGCTCCTCGTCAACCACTTCTCCAATTTCAGGGTCCACCAGGGGAAAGACGTGCTGGTCGAATTCGAATATCGTCACCTCGATGCCAAGTCGACGGAGATTCTCTGCTGCTTCGAGTCCGATGAAGCCACCACCGACGACAACAGCTCGGCGACAGCCTTTCTCAGAGATCATGGCTTGGATCTCTTGGAGGTTGGGGATGGTCTGGAGCGTAAAGACGTGCTCAGAGTCGGCCCCCTCGATCGGAGGAATAAAAGCTTCAGCTCCCAAAGCCAGTACCAACTTGTCGTACGGAACCAAAGACTCCTCACCAGATGAGAGATCACGGATAGTTGCCGTTTTCTCGTCTCTTTGAATCGACTTTAGCTCAGTGTTGGTCCTGGCGTCAATGTTGAACCAAGTCTTGAGCTTTTCGACAGTCTGAACATGGAGTTTTCCCTCGCTCTCAACCACACCGCCGAGGGCGTAGGGAATACCGCAGTTGGCGTAGCTGACATATGGTCCTTTGTCGATGACGGTGATTTTGGCGTCCTCGTCAAGACGGCGCAGACGAGTTGCGCAGGACATTCCGCCGGCGACACCACCAACGATGAGAACTTGTTTGCTAGGCGCCATTGAAGATGCTTGTCGTGAAAATATCTGGCTGAATTGTATGTGTGGTGATGACTCTGGATGTAATCTCGCCCCGGCTGAAGCACCCAGCAAGGACTTATATATCACCGACCGCAGGTTCGCGATAAGCGACGAGTGACTCTTCCATATTCGAATGCTCATGATGAATTTTGCTTACAAGGCCATGATTCGATTTTTCGGGATGACAAGTTGGAAAGCATCACGGTGAGATTATGAATGTGCCCTTGTTCATGGTCGCCGAACCAGTTCGGGGACCAAAGAGGTGAGGATATCGCCGACTGAGAAATCCGAGTTTTATCAGGCCACCCACGCCACAATTTCTAGCCAAGAGCTGAGATGCCCGTTCTTTTAAATTTACTCTGCGATTGATGGATTAGAGATTATCTAAGATGACAGAGAAAAGAATACTGTTGTACCGGAGTCACTCTTTGGCGATACTCACACTGGACTTGCCGGATAATCTTATGATAATAAGTAGGAGAAATCATTAATAGAGGCGAGATTGAATTTATGAATATTACACTCTTCTATTACACATTCCTTTCAATATTCTGCGGTGTTTGAATTGATGAGACTGCGCAAGCCCGAGATACTTCAACTTTCGCGCCTTCACAGCACAGTCAAACTCCACGACCTCATAAAGGTGAACGCAATGAATATGTTCTCCTAGACCCCTTGTTTCTCCCGATAATAAATACATGAAAATTAAAACTACTGAATGGTTCTTGACATTGAAAGAGCAGTCTCGACCCACCAATGGTTGAACAGCATTGAAGTTCATCCCAACTGTCCACCAAACCCCAACACTGCTCATCACTGGCAACCCATTGCAAGACCTCATACCCTTATAGCTTAGAAAAACGACCCCCGAAGTAAAGATGAGCACTGAGAGTGGTCGAACGGTCAAAGTCTTTGTTCTGACGGGGGCCAGCACGGGGAAGAGAACCGCCGACGACGGATGAGCGTGTGTGTTGGGACTGCGATCGGGAGGTCACTTCGAGGTGCACATCCAGCGCGTACTTTTTTGCCTTTTTGTATCTTGGCCTCGGTTTTATCTTATTTCTCAAATAGCGATGAGCAGAGCAGTGGACCAAATTTCTCCCGAGCATCCTGTCCTTGCGACTTGCAAGCTGATATGTCATCACTAATTCAAACCTCACTCCCAGCTTCTGCATATTGTTAATCGGGGCATCAAGGAGGCGTGTACATAACAGTTGTCTCTAGTACTACTTGATTATAAAGGTCATGTGCGAGAGCTTCGTCCGTCCAGCGTCACTCAGCCAACATATGTGCCAGCTTCCATGAGCAGATCTCTACCAACTTTCACACTACGAGGTATCTCAACGCCAAAGACTTAAGCCATTGGACGTAAGCTTCTGCTTCTCTAGGTTGGTAGCTTGAAAGAGAGCATCTGTGCCCTTGGAGCAATCATAATAACACGAAACACGCTCGCCAACCATGCCTCCCCTGGGCAGAGTACGTTTGCACTCAGGCGAGCCCGTTTCCCATTCCTCAGGCACCGAGTCTTTGGTGTTCCTGAGTGCCATCAAGGTGATGATTTTTGAGGCAGTGATTCACTGTCATCTCGTCTCATCTTCCTATATATTCGATCATCCTACGTCTCTCTCTTCTTTTCAACTTTCCCCTCTTCATCACCACCTCTGGGCACCCCAGAGCCCATTTTACAATCATCCAAATACCCAAGAAGTTTACATTTCAGGCCCCCAGATCACCGGTCACTTTACTTGCCCCTTTTTCTCGTGACCTGGGTTTAGGCTCCCGCAATCACTCTGCGGCCCCAGAGAATCTTCAGAGTTATCGATTTCGGCCTCAACATCTTCGCTCAGTGTGAGCTACCCTTCCCTTCCGCCTCGATTGATACTGAATTTACTGAGACTCAAGGGTATTTCTCTTTGCACAGCTGGGATCCCATCGCTTCTCAGCCTAGAGTCTCTCCCCCGCTCGACAGTCGCCTGCACCAGGAACAGCGCTCCAGGACATCCACATCCTGTATGGCCTACTTCCTCCCTTCTAAATCGACTGACACTGGCTTTACTGACTTGATATTTCTGAAGTCTAGGACCCCATCGCTGCCAAGCACAGTGCCTCTCTCCCTCAGCAGTTGCACCAGGAAGAGTATTCCTGGGCTCCATCCTCCAACTCTACCCTCATTCGGCCTCTCTGCCTGTGCGCTGCCTAAAATGAGCCGACCTCTACTGGTGGTTTCGAGAAATGGGACGGACTACAACGACGCTAAATCATGGGTACCCGGGCTCCTGAATCTAGTCCAAAGTCTGAAGAGCCGAGCTGACGCTTGGGATGATCTCGAGGGGTATCTCAAGCTCAATCCAGATGTCACCTATCAAGGCCTGAATGAGTACAGCCATGCCCTACAAGCCAGGGTCTTCTTACACGTGGATCAAGCCTTGACCCCATCGACCGACAAGACCTATACCGGGTCCCTAGACTCTTTCGCTCTCGAGTCATCCTCATGGCGGCTGGTCTACTCTCATCCGATGATTTCAAGTCTTGCGAATTTGTCATGAAGGAGATGCTTGAACAGTGCGAACAACTTAGCCCGGGAGCCAGAGACGCTTTCGAAGTACTTGACACGCTTCGAACATTGGATCTTGCTCCTCACATCCGGGAGCTGCTAGCGGCACCACACATTGCGACATTGGCATCATTGAAGTGCATCACCCGACAGCGGGAGTCTCACCATGCCCTCCACGAAATTTCGTCTGTGTACATGAGAGAGCGCCGGGCTTTCACTGCGAACTTCTGGACCCAGGTCCGGCGCCATGCTCATCGGGATTCGAGCTAAGAGAAGCCCGAGTCCGGGACCCTACGAGTGATGACTAGGGAGCCTAAATGCTTGGGGGGAAGAGAAGAAGAGTGTCAATCGCCTGGATGGGCGATAGAAGCAGGGAGAAGAGGCAGCTGGGAGGGAACCGAGATGTGAATAGTGATTGCAGGTGAAGTGTTTGAAAGGAAACTTGAGCGATGAAAGAGGTGAACAGTTGAGATGTTTGGAAACAAGAAGGGAAGAATTAATAAACGATAGAGGAGAGAGCGCAGTACCTGAGAGGATTGAGGCGAAATGCTTCAGTGGAAGCTTTGATGATGGTGATGGAGGAGGAAGAGGGATCTTGAGGGGAGAGAGGGAAGAAGGAAGAACAAATACCCTTTTTGCTGGAGCAGTGAGAGCAGGAAGAAAAAAAGAGGCACCCTTTGCAAAGAATATCTATCTCTGTGAAAGAGGAGATGGTGCTCTGGAAAAGCTATGGTAACCCGGTATAAAAAAAGAGATTGTGCTCTAGAAAATCAGGAGCCTCTCTTTATCGAAGAGGACCAGAGACTGTTCTCTGAAAAATTAGTGACGCCTCACTGTAAAAAAAAAGAGAAAGACCTCTGGAGAAGCTGCGTTTAAGCTATGGTTTAGATGAGCAAAAATGGGTTGACAGTGAATCACTGACCTCGAGCTCTCCATCAAACACACCATTCATCCGTTTGTTACATGGCATCCAATGTTAGTCAGCCTCTTCAAGCACGGGCTATCAACTAAAAGTACCAGATAAGCATCTTGAATGTTCTTCTGTCCTCTGTGTCTGGTTAATATTCGTCTGTATGATCCTCCTCGATTCCCTGGCAGGCTCCCTCAACTCCACCCTGGTCAGGGGTGTTCGTGGTAGGTTCTTCTTTTGTCTACTCCCTTTGATGCATGGCACTGATCGCGATAGGCCACTTCCTGGAGGGGCAGTCACGAAGCGCAAGGCTGAAAACCAGCTTTCCAATAACTGTCACACTAAAAAGAGTCGCAACAGATGAGGCCGTTTTACTACCCCATCGACATAACATTTACACAGACAAGACGACTTCAAATCAAGACGCTTCATTTATGCTCAGACTATGACTCTCTAAATACATTGTCTGCCAGACAAGTTTCTCTCGTAATACATTGATCAGTCAACTCATGTTGGCCCCGTATATCGGCCTGCGCATATGTTCTCTATATCCCCTTATCTTCCCCAACGCCTGAAATCACGCCCCCTTGCTCGGTATATCCTCCACTATATATATGTACGTAACTACCAGTCTCCCAACTCCTAGTAATACTCTGGCAGATCGTCGAAATCAGGAACATCCTTGTCGCAGTCAAAATCACGGTCCCAAGGCTTCTCGGGCAAAACACCCGCTTTGAGACCAGCCTCGTAGCTCCACTGGTAGTTGTTCTCCGTCTTCCACGTCCAGTAGAACCAGCCCCAGCCCTTCTCGAAGCTGTGCATCTGGGCCTCGGCAAACATCTTGAGGAACTTTTTGTACTCGGCACTCCACTTGTCGGGGGCAGAGTTGGCTTGGTCACACGAGCACTTCTTGTCCTTGGTGGGACACCGAGGCGTCAGGATCGAGGTGTTTGAACTGCCCGTGTCGTACGTGCCCTCCCATCTGTTGCCCCAGCCCACGCCCGTGAGGAACTTGGCACAGTCTGTGTCGGCTTGTGACCATTCAGCAAACATGGTTGGTCCGTAACCTGTCGTTGTATCCATGCTCCTCTCAGCCTGCTCCGTCCACCCCTTACAGGCGTACTCAACCTTTTCCTTGTGCGTAAAGTCGATCTGATTCTCGTTGAAGATGACGTACTGGTGAACATCCAAGATCATGTCATCGTAGCCAGTCATCACGCCCTGCCAGTTGTCGAGTCCCATAAAACCGTCTCCAAACACAACAAGAGCCTTGACGCCATTCTTGCGCACAAGTTTATACGCATCCTCTGTCCACTGGATGACTTCGCTCGTCTTGAGAAAGGTCATTCGAGGTTCGTTGGCGAGGCCGTAATGCGAGATGATGTTCTTATAGCGGTCCTGGGCGAAGAACTTGGACAGCCGGTCATGGATCTCGAGAGCTCGCTTTGCATTCTCGTCTCCATCATTTCCGTTCAACCAACCAATGTTTCCCCATCTACCACTGTGGTTCCAACCGTTTTGACTGCCAGGAATACCGTGCAAGTCCAGGTTTACTCGAAGCCCATACTTGCGGCACCACTCGATGGCACGCAACAGGTATCGCCACGAGGTGCGAAACACGTAGGGGTCTCCATCATATACTTGGACGGCCCAATAGTTGAAACCGATTCGAACGTGGTCAAGGCCGGCAGCGGCGATGTCCTTGAAGGTATCCTCCGTGATGAACGATGCGTAGTGTTTCTCTAGTGTTGCTCCTGCATCAGCACCCAGCTTTTCAGACAATGTCCATTCGTCAACAATGCCTTCATCAGTGTCGTAGTTGAACAGAGAAGGCGTGATAAACGGCTCCAGGTAGAGCCACCCTCCTATACACACTCCCCGAGCAGGCTTTTCGGTGTAAGAACCCCATGCTTTGTTCAGTGGCGGAACCTTGTCGTTTGCCCGTGCCGAGTCGTCCCAGTCATCGTAGAGGCCCATGACTGGCAAGTCTCCAACCATCTCGTCGGTAAAGGTGACGTTGAAGTCGGTTGTCGTTTCCCATGTCCAAGGATCGAGGTATGTGTTCTTCCACTTGTCGGGTATATCCTTGCGATCCATGCCATCGAGTCCTGATGTGTCGCCACTCGAGTTGTCTGAATCACCACTATCGTCACTACCCCCTCCTCCTTTCCCTTTGTTCTTGTTGCTCACAACCACTGCCACTATAATGATGATGATGAGGACGACAGCACTGACACCAAGAGCAATCCCTGATATCCATGTAAGCACTAGACTTGCAGAAGCGAGAAGATGCCACTTACATAGCTTTTTCTTGCTCTTTTTCGGTCGTTCCCTTTGGTAAAAGTCCTTTTCGAGACTATCGATGCTTCCCCCGCCACCTCTCAGCTCAGTGTGTGCTCTTCCCTCTTCCATGATAGCTCCGCTCACAACTCGTCGCTTCTTCCCCTTGCGATGAGTTCGTGGCCTATCCGGATCCCGGTCACGTTCTCGGTCTCGGTCTCGTCTTCGGTGTTCATCATTGCTGGCTCGGACTGGTCTTCGGGATTCGTCTCTGTTGGCTCGACTTGCTCGTTCGCTTCGTTTCTTTTGGCGCGCATTCTCTCTGTCCAGATCGGCGAGAGCCCCTGCTGATAATGATTTTGAACTTCGATCCCGAGCCTCTTCCGTCCCAGCAGCTGGTCGGCGCGACCCTGATGACCGTTTTTTCTTGTGTCCATTCTTTTTCGACGATTGCCCATTCCGTTGTCGATCTCGCTCTCGAGGCCTGTGAGACCGCGAAGGGCGCGACGTCTCTGGCATGTTGAGAATTGCGACAGCTGAGACCTAAACTAGAATGCGACCCTGGGCAAAAAAAGAGGCCACGGCGACCATTCAAGAAGGTTTTAGCTGCAGACGGCGATGACGACGCATGGCTCCGTTGTCGACATATTTCCTGTTTGGGGACAGCCTTGGCGGATCTTGGCGCCACTCGGTTGTCGACCGGGCAACAATCTTATCAGCGGCTTATCTGGGGTCGACTCGGTCAATGGCTACCGATGGCGATGAAAGCCGTCAACCGCGCGGGGGCCGTAGCAAACCGAGCTTGACATCACCGACGCCGAGGACATCAGCCCTTGGGATATCTACCTTTGCCCGCTGCTGCTATGCTGTTAATTGTGTATTCCTCACCGTTTATCTCCTCCTTTCGCGCCTGTGAAGCCTGTCCAGATCCGACATGAAGCACCGTGCCGTACACCAGCTGAGGAGGGCCATTGGAGCCTCGACTATTCGACTCCCTGTAAGACGCTGTTACTCGACACATCCTCCCAATGCCAGATTAAACCTTCCCGTCGACTATGCCACGACTCCTCTGCTCGCCCATAGCTCCCAAGCAGCTCTAAGTAACAAGGAGCTCCCAGAGGACGTCCGCAATGGCCCGACAAAGAAGATGAACCTGTTCCAGGCGATCAACGATGCCATGGGCATTGCCCTCGCCGAAGACGAGTCGGTCGTTGTTTTCGGTGAAGATGTCGCCTTTGGAGGAGTTTTCAGATGCACCATGAAGCTCGCAGATACCCACGGCGCCGAAAGAGTGTTCAATACCCCCCTGACAGAACAAGGCATCATGGGTTTTGGTATCGGACTGGCTGCTGAGGGCATGCGACCCATTGCCGAGATCCAATTCGCCGACTATGTCTACCCGGCGTTCGATCAGCTCGTGAACGAGGCTGCCAAGTTCAGATACCGCGATGGAACTTGTGGCCGGAGCGTGGGCGGCCTGACTGTGCGCATGCCATGCGGTGGTGTCGGCCACGGCGGATTGTACCACTCTCAATCACCCGAAAGTCTGTTTACCCATATTCCAGGCTTGAGAGTTATCATGCCGCGCTCCCCAGCCCAAGCCAAGGGTCTTCTTCTCGCGGCCATCCGCAGCAACGACCCCTGCGTCTTCATGGAGCCCAAGATCCTGTACCGCGCCGCCGTTGAGCAAGTTCCCACGGGGGCGTATGAACTTCCACTATCAAAGGCCGAGGTTCTCAAGGAAGGCAAGGATGTTACTATCATTTCCTATGGCCAACCTCTGTACCTTTGCCAGGCCGCCATCAAGCAAGCCGAGCGAGACCTGGGCATCTCCGTCGAGCTGATTGATCTCCGGACGGTGTATCCCTGGGACAAGAAGACAGTGTTTGAGAGTGTGCGAAAGACTGGAAGGGTCATGGTGGTCCATGAATCTATGGTTAACGCAGGTATCGGCGCAGAGGTTGCTGCAGCTATTCAGGAAGACCCAGATACCTTTCTTCGACTGGAAGCTCCCGTTGCTCGAGTTGCGGGATGGAGTATCCATAACCCCCTGATCTTTGAAAAGTTCCATCTTCCAGATGTTGCCAGTGAGTATCCATGGTATTAAGTAACAGTTGCACATCGGCTAACAGTGTCGTCCAGGAATCTATGACAACATCAAGAGGGTCTTGGATTATTAGTTAGAGGGTCAGGGATGCATTGACTGTGAATAGTCAGCCGGGGGCTTCTTAAGAGTAAAAATGTATGAAAAAGGGACCAAGAAACACTTGGACTCGGCCATAGCTTTTCTAGACAGAAGCTGAGAGCTTGAAGATATCCCAAGAATCAAGACAGAGCGTAATAAGATGGTACTTTTGTGACGTCAAAGCCAGGGGCGGTGTGCATGTACCCCACTAACGCATCTCATCATGCTCCACCCAAGCTCGTCGAGCATTCGCCCCGCCTCCCGTTTCCCCCTATGGGTCGTGCCTCAGAACTCGATGCATTGAGCCTCAAACGCCATCGCCGTCACCTTACATCACTCTCCTCCTGATCCTTCCTGCGCATCTCTAACAACTTGCATCATGTCGGAGATTGAGACTGTCTCGTCCTTTGTGGAGGGCGCTCCTCCTGGAGAGGTACTGACTCTCCCCCAGCAAGCTCCACGTCATGTCATCAGCTAACAAATGAGGATAGCTTGCCGACGTCGTCGCAGGTACTTGGCACCGCAGTCGCGATTGATCAAGAGTGAACTGACTCCAAGCTGGCAGACATCAAGGCCCTCGCCATCTCGTCCCCCGACATCATCTCCGACCTCGCGCCCGCCTTCGAAAAGTACAACGAGGAGCAGTTTGTTACGGTGAAGCTGCCCGGCAGCAGCCAGCCAGTGGGTGACCCCTGATCCGGCATTCCGGTCGATATTGTATGCTGAGTATTGGGATAGGTCATTATCAGCTCCCACAACTCCCTCGGAGACGGACGATACTACGATGTTGAGAGCTCCTCCAGCTTCGCCTTCAACCACGCGACGCAGGTAAGCTCAGGAGATGATCTAAGCGACCTGGGGTATTGACACGAGGATAGAAAGCTAGCGCCGTGCAAAGCCATGTCCTCGAGGGCCCTCAAACAGATCTTGTGTAAGTGTTGATCTGTCGACATGCGACCAAAGGCTCACAGATGCCAGGAAATCCACACTGAAGAGCCTCAGCGCCTACGTCAGCGAGCACTTCCCCAATGCCGCATACGGAGTCTACCCCATCCAGTCGGACTCGCAGATTGCAGTTATCATCGTGGGAAACAAATACAGCCCCAACAACTTCTGGTAATTTTGCCAAACCACCTTGGCCCTGATCGAGCTAACCCGCCACAGGAACGGCCGCTGGAGATCGCTCTACATCTTTGACCCTTCGTCCGGAACCCTCGAGGGCTCCATCAAGGTCGACGTGCACTACTACGAGGACGGAAACGTGCGACTCCTAACCAACAAGCCTGTCTCGGGCTCGATCCCCTCGGGCAGCGGCGCCGGCGTCATCAAGGAGATCTCGTCGACGGAGCGCAAGTACCAGGAGGAACTGAACAAGGGTTTCGTGAGCCTCAGCGAGGGCGCCTTCAAGGGTCTTCGACGACAGCTGCCCGTGACGAGGCAGAAGATTGAGTGGGATCGCGTGACGAGCTACAGGCTGGGCCAGGACATTGGTGGTGGAAGCTCGCGACGATAGACTGACTGGGTTTCCTGTGTCTGGTTTGGGTGTCGGATCTGAGAGATAGATTTGAAGATGTAGCAACTCAAAGAGCGTAGAGGACAAGTTTCGAGCAATTGTTACACTGGTTTAGTTCGTCTTGATCAAATGGCTGCATTCACACCCCTTGGCGATGGGGGTAAGCCATGAGGATGCGTCCAGGTGGGCACGGAGACCGGAGGCCGTGTCTCGGAAAGCGGCTTACGGTATGAGTGTTGGTCCACTCAAGTTACCTGGCAAGAGACCTGATTATCTCGATAATCAATCCGGGGTTTCTTGAGCTTGCTGGGATGAGTAATGCTTCCCAACTTAGTCTGGTTTTTGCGATGGTTGTTAGACGAGAAGCTGGATGACAGCCTGGCAAGCCTCATGCCTAAGTTGCAATCACCAACCCTGACATGGTCAAATGTATCAGCCAGACTCAAAACAGGTGACATTTCCCCGGCCATACATAACCGATCATGATGACGGCCGGCAAGTGGGGGATGATTCCACAAGATCGAGTTACTATTTACAGCGATTCAAGTGACAGATATTCTACTCTGCCGGCGAGGGTATTTCTATTCTTGCCTTTTTCAGAGAGCATTCTCGACTCTGCCGATAAGAGCAAGAATGAGGTAGTCTCCATTTCACTACTATAAAAGGCAAGGAACTCGAGCGAGGGATGCTTCATGCATCATCAAGTGGGCCGCAAGAGGCAAGGATTTGAGAGCGAGCATCGAGATAGCATCTATTCCTCGGGAATCGGGAATCGGTATCTGCCCACACGGACATGTCCCTCCTCCACCTTTGACAAGCCACGGGCTCTGGGGAAAAAAGAGGGCAATTCACAATCACAAGATGCGTGAACGGTCCTAGCGCTTCCCGTCGGAAGGCGGGGTACAGTCTGACGGGATGGATGTTTGGTAATGGATGGGAGAGGAGGGGTTCCCTCGGAATCGGAGAAGTAAGAGAACGGTCGGCAAGGTGTCCGGGTATTGTTTCTCTAGTGGGAGACTCTGGGAGAGGGAGTTGAACGGTATCTGGAGTTCGGCTGGCTTGTCTCTAAACGGCAATTTCCTCCCTGGGCCGCCGCGATCCGAGGAACCCCGCGCAGTACGCGGCGACCACGGAGAACAAGTCCGGGTTTTAGTGTGCGCAGCGAGGCACCTTACAGTACCTTATCTTGGGCTTGTGCTGTCAGATGCGGGGGAGGGGGGACTTGAAGCCATTCTCGAGAGTCGTGATGTTAGAAGGCGGTTAGATGATGACACCTGTCGACAACGGATGGACGGAAAGATGCGGATATAAGCCAGCAGGAATAGGGCACAGCTTCGGAATGAAAAGATGTCAATGACATGGTGCTCGGAACCATCATGCCCGGCTAGTAGGCATGAGATGGAATCCCGCCGTTGAAATGACGGTGTGTACCGACGGGACCTCACCGTATTCGTACTTGGGCTGGGACGGCCGCCGGCAGAACATTGCTCATCCGGGAACCGCAGCGGCTCTTGCACCTCTGCTGTCAGAGAGCCAGCTAACTAAGGAGGTCCCTCAAAGAAAGAAGAAGAAGAAAAAAAAAAAAGTGGCCAACCCCTGGAGAGTTTGGAAAGGGAAATGGAAGACGAAAAGTTCCGCGGACGAATCATGGATCGAGGACGGTAATTTTGACTCGTGCAATTGGCTGGAGATGGCTCCAGGTGATGGAGTCGGTCCCTTGAACTGGCCAAAGTGGATGGGGTCGGAACTTGAGCTGGCCGGGTCGTACCAGGCGAGAGGAGATTGATGGAGCTCCATCTAATGTGCGTTACTGCGTCTTGCTGGCGGCTCGTGGTGAAAGACGTGGCCACTATGAGCCATTGCCATTGCATCGCTGAGAAGAGCGTAACCTTTTGTACGCGGTGCCAATGCCCACCGGGACCCTCTGTAGAAGTAGACTCTAAGAAGAACCGAAAGCGAAAAGTACCTGTTCTTGCAGTGACCGGGTGCTAGAGGGAGAAAAGTCCCGTCGCTGTCATTGCCCCCCATCAATTCGCGTCGGCTTTTGTTGTAGAGGTCCATCGGAACGGGGACCACTCAACGCCCTGTGACCCGTCCGCATAGCGTATTCGTAGCGCAGAGCAAGGTATCGGTAAGTAGGTAGGTACATCCAACCCTGGCTCATCTTTAGCAGGGGACCTACCCATCCATCCCATCCATGACTTAGGTTGTGTTTCTTCTGCCACTTCTATCTGCTTCTGCTTCCCTCTTCCTTTTCTTCCCTTCTCTCGTCATTCCTCTCTGCTCATCTCTCTTCCACCTCGTCCCGACGACAACCTCCTCACCTGCTACTCCTCGACAGACCGATCAATCCCCTTTCGCGACACCCGTCAAGTCAACCTCAACACCGCAAAAATGGCCCAGGTTCAGGAGTTCACCATGCAGGATGTTGCTGAGCACAACACCAAGAACGACATGTACCTCGTAGTCCACGACAAGGTCTACGACTGCACCAAGTTCCTCGACGAGCACCCGTACGTTTGATTGAGACAGACACCCCGCGCGACACCGCCTGTATGCTAACATTTGCTACCTGCAGTGGTGGTGAGGAGGTCATGCTCGACGTCGCTGGCCAGGATGGCACCGAGGCTTTCGAGGATGTCGGCCACAGTGACGAGGCCCGGGAAGCCCTCGACAAGCTCTTTGTCGGTGAGCTGAAGCGCATGGTAAGTGAAGTTCAACAACCCTTGTATGCACCGCACCGCAACACACCCACTGACACGTGCAATTCTACAGCCTGGCGAGGAGGGCCCCAAGCGCACCATCGTCAACTCGAACCAGAGCACCGGCAAGGATTCAAACAGCCTCGGCCTCGGCCTGTACGCTGTGGTCGTCGCCGGTGGCTTCTTCGCCTACCTGGGATACCAGTACCTCCAGAACCAGGCCGAGGCTCAGGCTGCCCAGGCCTCCGCATGAGCGCAGCACTCAATCGCATCACACAAAAGAAGCTTTTTCTGTTTTGCCACGAACTAGATGCCGACCTCGGCGTCTTCTGGCCGACGACGTATTGGGAGTTTGGCCTTTATAAGGGCAAGGGAATTGGGCGATAGACGGCGCGCAAACAAACAAATCTCATCTACCCTGGCTTGGTTGGACATGGGCGAGGACAGCGGGCTGGGCAAAAAAAGTGTCCCCCCCGTTCTTTTTTTTTGTTGGGGCCGTGCGACCAAGGATAAGGGATCGCAGACCCAGTCTGAGAGGCGCGCGAGACTCAACTCGTCGGCGCGATAACATCAGATTACGGAGCACGGTGTTTGCATGGGAGAATCTTTTCACAATGGAAGACAGAAGCAAAACAAAGCAATCTGGGGCCCGTAAAGTACCTAAATATCTATCACTGTTTTAATCGACGAAACGATTGGTCATGCATCATGCGATGAGTTCCATTGAGCAATGTTGCACTGAGAAGAGCCGCCGTGTGGCTGTGCCGACGACAGACAATGACTCTGAGACGCAGAGAACAGGCAGCGAGTGACATGAATTTAGACTTGAACCTACTGTCTGCCTTGTTAGAGAGAGTAAGTATAAACAAACTCGTCCTCTCCTCATCACGATCAAACCAAACGTGGCACTTTTCCCTCCTTCACCACATGTTAGAGTCTCACTGTCTTGCCCGTCGCCACTAACAAAAGACATCCCTGCACCCTACAAACGCCACAGTCGCAGAACCCATCAGCCTCGTCTGCTCACGGATCAACGTCAATCCCAAACTTCAACCTCGATTTCTGCCTATTTTCTCTTTTGTCTCCCTCCTCCGCTCGTCCTCTCCTTGACGCGATCCTCCGAAAGCGACAAATCCGCCAGAAACCTTTTGAGTTGCACAGTTCCGTTCCTTCTTTTTTACGCCCACCATGTCTTCGTACCTCGACAGGCAGGCCAACGCCTTCAAGGGGACACTCTCGGCAGCAGCAGCAAAGATCTCCAACCCGTCCAGCAACAAAGCCTCGTCCCTCGCGCCCCCATCTCTGACTCCTCTATCACCTTCTCCCTCGGCCGCTTCCGACCCAAACACTCCCAGCTCCAAGCGAAAACGAGATGCCGCGCCCGAGGTGCCCTACTCGCAGCCTCAGCTCACGGGCTACGGCGCAGAGGTCAAGACGCAGATGACGTTTGCCGTCGAGTATCTGAAGAAGAAGGGCGATACAAAGTCCATCACCGAGATTATTGATCATCTCAGTCTCCGCGGCTACGATGAGGAGCACAAGCGCGAGCTGGCCGAGGGCCTGCGCGGCCATCCCCGTGTCGACTGGAAGCCCGATGCCAGCCTGAGCGAGCAGACCTGGAAGACTGGCACCTATGCGCACCGACCCATTATCCCCAACGTCAAGGACGCAACCTCACTGCTTGGCCATCTCCAGGCCAAGACGGACGCATCAGGCGTGTCTGTCAAGGACCTCAAGGACGGCTGGCCCGATTGCGAGGATACACTCGCGAAGCTGGAGCAGCAGCACCGGATCTTGGTGGTGCGCACGAAAAAGGACAACCTCCCACGCTACGTATGGCCCAACGATGCTTCGCTGCACCATTCAGTCCAGCCCGAGTTCCAGGCCATGTGGCATCGTGTGCCCCTGCCCAGCATCGACGATATGCACCGCAAGCTCGTCAGTGTTGGACAGAAGCCTACGAGCGAGGACCCGCACAAGGCGGCGCAGGGACAAGCGGCAAAGCCCAAGCAGCAGAAGCGCCGCGCGGGCAAGCGCATCGGCAAGGCGACCAACGTGCACATGGCGCATCTCATGCAAGATTACAGCGGCATGAGGAGGTAGACACGATACGAGAGAGACGATGTGTGTGGATTGTGTTGATGGTTCATTCATTCACGCGGCGTTGGACGGACTATGGCGGCTTCTGGCGTTTGGTGTAGACGGGGTTTTTTATTTTGGTCAACTAAAAGACAAAGGAAAGGTATCAATGGCAAATTAAGCTAAGGGGGGGACAGTGAAGGGCACCTAGACAAAGAGAACCAAGGCAGAGCGCCAGTATAGGTTTTGATCAGCGATAACTAACGGTTTAATCCAGTAACTCCTACTTTTGTATCTTGTGCATGTGAGGTCTATGTCTCGTATACATACTATTCATCCAGGGGAGATACTTGACACTCAGACCAGCTTAGCTATCTGATAGCCCCAGACAATAGGTACTTAGTTAGTCCTAGCATAGGTAGAGGTTGAACAAATAATCAGCGGCCGTTTCAGAGCTTTGGCTTGAATCACGAAAAGATCTTGATGAGAATTTATTGAGAGTGGCTATATACCCTTTCTTACCCCGTAGTATCGTCAATGCTAGATATTCACTCCCTATATCACCTTTACCCTCCTCTACTCTCCCGCCGTATCTTGTCAAACAAGCCTTCAAACACATCCGACTCTTGATACCCTCCTACTCTAAACCTCCCTTGCACCGTGACGCACGGCACAGCCTCGACGCCCCCAACAGCCGCATTCCTGACCTCATCCTCAAGCATCCTCCCAGCTTCTTCGCTCCTCAGCACAGCCCTCACAGCAATATCATCAAGACCCGCTGTGCTTCTGGCTACTCTAACAAGCCACTCCTCGTCGGCAATGTCGGCGCCGGCTTCAAAGTGTCCCCGGAATAGGGCATCGAGGAGGGTTGCCTGAGCGGCGGCGCCTCGGGTCGAGAGGGCTAGAGCCAGGAGTCTGTGGGCGGGCTGGGACGGACCTGTGACGCCGGTGACGGAGAAGGAGACGCCTTGGCGGGCGCCGGCCTTTTGCAGACGGGAAGTGAAGACGCGGAGCTTCTCGGGGGACATGATCTTTTCGTAGAGAGTGCGTTTGTCACCTGTTGGATATGGTATTAGTCCCTTGTGTAAGCGGGAGGGAAAGGAGTGTTGTTGGCAACAGGCAACATACCTCTTCGTAATGTGGGATATAGCAGAAAGGGCTTCCAGGAGACGTCGAACTCGATCTCGGGATGGAGGGCTTGATATCGTTCCATTGCCGCCTCCAGACTCTTCTTCTGGAGGAAGCACCATGGGCAGAGGAGGTCCCCGTGGATGACAATATCCACCAGCATGGTGTCGAACAAGAGGGAGAGTTGCTGTTGACCAACGATTCTTTCTTGAGAAACTTTCCGAGGCGTCCTCTTCCAAAATACACTGTTGTATGGGTGTAAAAAGAGAAACTGACGAGTTGCTGTTGTAGTGGTTGTTGTTCAAGTCACTCTGTCAAGCCACCGTAGATCTAAAGACAGAACCCATGTGCCCTTCCCCTCCTCACGACATATATAAAAACCTTTCTCCCTCCCCCGACCGAGCTCCCCTCAACTTGATATCTCTTTTCCCCCCAGGACCGGGGGGGTGCGGCGGCGGGTTGGTTCCCCCGGACTTCTCAACCAAACAAAGCTGGACCATCCCCCCTTCAGAGACGTGGCACTCCGGTCCCCTTCATGAAACGCTTACCCCCATCCTCGTTTAAAATCATAGAGAAGGAAAAAAAGACCTGCAAGAGTTCCAATGTCATACGACGTCCCCGCCTCAGAGTGCCGTTGAACAATATTGATTATGTCTGCGATGATTAATCAGAAAATCAAACACTACTGTCAACCCCGGCTCCTGGAGGTGGAAGCGAGGCCAGGGGCCAAAGGAAACAGACTCTTCCCTTTAGTGGCTAGATCTAGAAGGAAATTCCTCTCAACATGGTCCGCCGGCGTCGGCTTTTTCGTGGCCTTGAGAAAATCTAGACCGGTCGTTGAGGCTTGGGAGGCTTGCCAGAGTCGCGTGCTTTTGGCGGCTCGTGGTTGAAAAGACGTCATTGTGGTGGATGGAGCGGCAATTGAGGCTCCGCCTGGGGGGGGGGGGCACGCACGCATTGTCGGGTCCAGGAGTGAAACATTTTGGCACGTTTATTGATCGCTTATCTCAGTATTAGTATAAAATGAGCACATGGTTAGAAGAGATGTTGTCAAGTTTTACGATGAAATGATCATAAGTTATTCTACACCATATAATCCTCCCGCTTTAGTACTACTACGGAGAATAAAAAAAAAATAAAGATGCCGACATTATACCCAGGATAGCCGCAGTGACACACACACTCTCCCAGGATCTTTAGATGCAGCCCAGAGGCACAGAGATCAAAGGTGAGATCATTGTTTCGATCCGCCCCTTTTTTTCCCCGATAATTCTCGGATCCGGGGGCTTGCAGAAGAAACAGCTCATGGCGGGAAATACATAGCGTTTAACATCTGATTCGTTGCACGAGACGCCCGAAAGACGACGACCTAGATCACCGCCTCCAAGATTAGCTACAAAGTCAACGAACTCAAAGAAATTTCAACTCTTGATCGAGGCTAGCAAGATGACTAGAATAGCCGAGGAATGATCAAAGAGCGTTGCTTCGTTGACGCCACACTACAGTAGCACTACAGTAGCGTCGGATAATAAAACTTCACGAGAACCAAAAGAGAGTCAAAAGTAGTAAGTGCATCAAAACAGTCGATAATTCGCAAGTCTATGGTGTTTGCTCCCAATCCCCGAGTCCAAGTCTACATAATAAATACACAAACAGGCCAGCGTCTTATGCTTCCCGTGTTGCCTGCTGTCTTTTTGTTGCTGGTTGATACCTAACAGCAAATGTTCCGGTGTAACTCCCCTCCCTTTGCTTTGTGCGTCATGCAGACAATGCCCTGTCCATCATCGTAAGATTGCCGGCCGCCAGTCTATGTGGTACTTGAACAAAGGAAATAAAAAGCATCCATTTCTGATGGAAAGAGGGGGAATCAATAACGATGAACGAAATTAGAAACACAAAATTGCTGAACCGATGACGAAATTGACATTCCAAACATGCTCCGTCTAGGAGTGAACTCCCGCGTTGGGTGGTGACGTAGAAGGTGGTGATGGGTGGTATTAGAAGATCGCGAGAGCATGCCAACTTTGTACGAGTTCGTTACGAACCCTGGAGAGGTGTGAAGGATCCAGTCCGGGAGAAGTAAACGCTGCTATCATCCGTGTGCCCGCATCAGGCACAGCTTTCAAATAATACAGGGGTATCAATCGATGAGTGAGCTTACACCCCGTCACTCGGGGTGCCCGTTCGAGCTTTGCGCAAGCTCTGAGGGTGGCAAAATGTCCAACTAAGCCATGTGTACCAGTCCAGGCTCGGCGCTCTGCGGCCGTCGCATATGCGCCGCCGCACCGTAGTACATCTGGTTCATGGCAGGGTTGGTCGGGTATGCCTCCGAGGGATCGGGATACACGTAGCTGGCATTGTTCTGCGATGGAGAAGGGACATGGGATGGTGACTGCCAGCCAACATTGGCCATGTGAGGGCTACCACCATTGCTGCTGGGAGCGCCCTGGCTGTGCTCCAGGTTGGGCTCCAGAGTAGGAGGAGGACCATAGCTGGTGGGATGCGATGTAGGTCGCATCATGTTGTAGCCGCCGGAGGAAGTCGATGTAGGGCTACCCACGCGCATGTGCATGGGCAGAGAACCGCTCTGTTGCAGGTACTGGAAGTCGCCAGGGTGACGAGGAATGCTGTTGGTTCCGGAGAGATCAACGCTGGGAGACATGGACATTGTTCGCTGGCCAGGAGAGGGGGTTGTGTGAGGAGAGCCATTGTTGGACATGAGGTCGCTTTCAGATCGGGGCTGTGACATGCCCTTGGACTTGGAGGCAGCGAGAGCGGCAGCAGTCGCAGCGGCAGCCTCCTCGATAGTTCCGCTGTGGTGGTTCTGGTGGCGAGTGAGGGTAGTTCGGCGGGTAAAGGTCTTTTGGCAGTCGGCATAAGGGCACTTGTAAGGGCGCTTTCCGGAGTGTGTCCGGCGATGTCGGGCCAGAGAGCTGCTGTCGCTGAAGGGCTAGGATGCATGTCAGCGGTCGAGAAGAGAAATTCCAATACTAATGGTACCAACCTTTGCGCAAGTCTCGCAGTGGTGAGGCTTCTCTCCAGTGTGCACGCGCTGATGCACTGTCAGGGCAGACCTTTGGATAAATTGCTTGCCGCAGTTGGGCCAGTCGCAAACATGAGGACGGACACCGCTGTGGATGCGCTCTGTTCTTGTTAGCTCTTGTCGCATGTCTACCAGGCCATGTCTACTTACCGTGACGGGCGAGATCGCTGCGTCGCGCGAAGCCCTTTCCACAAGTGCTACACGGGTAGGCCTTGATGGGTTGCTGAGGAGGAGGCGGAGGTTGTTGCTGCATCTGCTGCATGTGCATGTTGGGCATGCCGCCCATGTTGGGCATCTCAGGGAAGCCAGGGAGCTGCATCGCGGCTGGCATGGGGTTGGGGATGTGCATCGGCGCTTGCATGGCGGCGGGCGAAGGGTAGGCTCGAGCGATGTGAGGGTTGGAGTATTGCGAGTGTTCAGAACCGTGGGGCGAGGCGGATCGTTCCATGCCGGGTTCGTGCTTAACGAACGCTTGGTGTTGGTGATCGAGAAGACCGGGGTTCAGTTGTTGTAGTTGACCTTTCTTATTGAGCATGTTGGTAATGTCCATTACCTCCGTGGGAGCTGGTGATCGCATGCCGCTCATCTTCAAAGTGGAGTGGAGTGCCAGCTGAAGACGTGGCGCGTTTGGGGGAGTGAATGTGCGAGGGCGCTCACAAGTGACGGCTCACAGCAGGAAGGCGGTCAAGCTGACAGTGACTGTGGGAGAGACATGGTCAGCAACAGTTTTCAAATTTGGTAGGGGGCCAAGATCGAATCAGGCTCCCTCCCACACCATCAGTCCCCTCCCGAGACGGCTGGTAAACAGCAAGGCGAGTACCAGACAGCTGCGCAGAAACAGCCGGCCGCCAAGGAGGAAATGTTGATGTCGAGGGGTCCACCCGAGTGCTCGAGCCCGTAGGCAAATATGCGACATACCTTTCCGCGTTTGTAGATAACAAACAAATGACGTGTATGGTCGCACCTAGGTCGTGGACGTGAAATCTTGGGAACCGCTTCTCGGGGAGATATCGGAGGAGGAAGTAACAAAGACGTCGACCGGCGACAGGAATGAGGAGTCGGTATTCGATTGGAAACACGGGTTTTCCGTCAAGCTAGAGTAGAAGATGGGAGGTCGGAGAAGTACGACGAGGGCGTGGTGGGGGACGAATTCCACGAGAGTTCGGGCAAATTTTCTTTTTTCTTCCTCCTTCACGAGTAATCGCGCTGTCGATCGGTCGAAGAAGAGGCGACGATGAAATGAGCGGCGTAACACAGTAAGTCTCGTCGGAAGTTGCTTCTCGTAGAGACGGGCAAGCGACGAGAGGTGGGATGTAGTCGTTTACACTGTAGGCGCGACGAAGGGATCAAGGGGTGGTCTGTTCACAGGCCGATGGTCTAGACGCAGGTACCGTAAGGTCAGCCGGGGGAGGGAGATGGCTTTTAATAAGACAGTGCAGTCAAAGGCCAGCAAAGAAGATGTGAGCAGAGGATCAGAAACGTCGATCGGGCCGAGGACAAGGTACTGTTCGAGGGATGCGACGAAAAAGAAGGGCAGGAACGGCAAGTAAAGAGGTTCAGGACTCGATTCGATGATCAGGGCCAGGTAGGGGCCAAGCCTTTATGTCAGGTTCCAGGATGGGTCCCTAGGCGGGACGTGACAAGGCAGCGCCGGGATATGAAGTTGGAGAGTGGGAAGGGGAAGTGAGGGTGGAGATGGGGGGAGTCTGACGAAAAAGATCCCAGTGACAGGGGCGAAGTGGAGGGCGTGGGTGTGGATGGTGGAAATCTCCAAATGCTGGCCTGGGCAGCCCAGCCCAACGCAGCGCAGTATAGCGGCGGCCGTGCAAACCGACGCCTCAGCCCAGCGAGAGAGCGGGTGCAAGCAAGGGACTGCAGGGGTAGGGGCAGAGGAATAAAGCACAAAACGAAGAAGACGACACTCGGACCTCAACCGACAGTTGAGAGAGCCAGAAATAGATTGAAAGGGAAATAGATGGGGGCGCGCGCGCAGGCACACGGAGAGGGCGGAACAAGCTCGAACAAAGGAAATGGGATGGGATGGGATGGGAGACGGGAATCACCAAAACAGAACAGAAGACATTACGTACCGGTGCCGTTATTTTGTTTTGTTTTGCTTGCAAGATGGCGATCTAAACGTACTAATCTTTTGGGCTTGGTTCCCGTCTTTGTTTTTCTTTTTTCCCCGACAGGCGTCGAGGCTCGGGCTGAGCTGTGCTGCGCTGCGCAGCACTGTACGGCTTTCTTTCTTTTTTGTTTGGATCTCGCAAAGCCCGTTTGCTCTGTGCGTCAGATCTCACCAAGAGAGCGGTGACATGGACCAAGCACGGGACGGGGGTTGACAGGAACTCGAGACACGACGGAGAGAAGCCGTCGAGGGAGAGAGAAACGATGGATGGATGGATCGGAAGACCGCAGGGGAGTGCGAAAAATGAAATGGTTCCAAAATCACGACGGAACAAACAGACGAGGCAAGGCGAGGCAAGGCAAGCAAGGTAAGGCAAGGTAAGGCCGTGCTGGGGGGAGCGCGGGAGCGCGGGCACCACCTGGTATTATAAGGTGAGCAGTCCGGGCAACAACACCTCACCTCAGGTCAGCGAGACGGGACGAGAATGTACCATGTGGGTGGACTCGGGCGACAAAAAGACGGATCAGAACTTTCATGATAAGCAGCTTCCAAGAAAGGTGGTGGCCACTTTCTGCGACTCCCTCTGTGTGCTATTATGTCTCTCACCTACATTACATCGGATTGGCAGACGATGCCGAGTGACGGATGGATGGCGGCCCGGACAAAATGGGAGCCAAAAAGGAAAGAAAAATGATCCTGGAGGGAATCCATCCATTGAAACGAATCAACGAACGGGTGGCTCCCCGGGAGCGACGACAAGGAAGGTCGGCGTTCTGCCTCTGGCTGAGAAGTATCTCGTACAGTGCGCACAGTGCATTTCATGCAGGCTCTTCCCCGGCCGCGGCCGCGCCCCATCAAGCCATGCGCCGCCATCCCTTCCATGGGCAAGCTCAATCAATCAATCAATCAACTCAATGACTGACTTCCATGACTGGCTTGGGAGTGGTCCCTGAACGAACAACTACACCTCGCCCTGAGCTTCCAGCCGGGTATCTCACTTGCTACCCTCCTCATGGGCTTCGTCGATGGGGCCCTGCGGGGGTTCCTGGCGTTGCAAAAAACCCAAAAGGGTACCGTCGTACAACTTACAGGCCGAGTTGGACGATGCTGATTGGAACCAGACCGTGGTCCTGCTCATCTTTCTGTCAAAGTTCGGGGCCGTCGATGACCCGCGACTGAGCAGTCCAGCTAAGAGACAGGCCAGTCCTGGTCAGCCTCGAGTGCCCTCAGATGGTCATCGTATTGTTTCCTGCCGCTGCCGGATGCCAGTTGTGCCAGCGACGTCTCATGCCGTCCGTCGTCTCTCCATCAGTCGCCGGTGGACGCCTCGTCACCTCCCCTTTCTGTCGCCGTCCGACGAGGGGGAAAAACGATCATCATGGACGAGACGGGCTAGGCTGCCAAGGCTGGCTCCATGTTTGTTTCGACCAGTTCGAGTTTGATGGCTCATGGCCATGCGTTCTAATGCCTTGAGATGCCATGTCCTATGCGCATGCAAGCCGTCCTTTGTTGCTGGTCTCTTCTGGCCTCTGATACAGTCTTCCTCTCCCTCGGGATCGTGAACAGGCCTCTCTCTGACCTTTCGCCCACTCTCCCGAGTTGGACCCCAAAGCATCCCCTGCCCGCAGGCATCGAACAACGCATCACTCACCTTTGCTCACCCCTGGCTTCCGCAAGGGCCGACGTCATGAATCTGCCCCGGTCCTTGTAAGGCCGACATGGCGTGTGCGCCCCTCAAAGCAGCGACCCCAGCTCAGCACATCGTGCTCAGGGCAATGGCTAGTTATTCAGGTACGTATCGCAAGCTGGGGGGTCCGTCAATTTGGGCGCTGGTCAGAGCTGGGCAGAGCTGATGGATGTTGGGCTGTCAGGCCAGGGCGACAAGGCGGTAGCCGTCGTGTGTGGCAGATCTGGCTTCCAGAACAGTCAATGTCCAACGATCCCCTGCTCCATCCCGTTGGCGGTGTCGTGTTGTCCTAGTGTGGCTTGCCTCACCTGAGTGTCCACCAAGTCCCTTGGCAGGCTCTCTGGCGAGCGTTCCTGGACGAGATGCGCCAGACGGCACTGGGTCATCGGGGTCGATAGCAATCTCCAAGCACGCACTTTGAATTTCGGTGACAGCGATCCAGGACCACCCGACGCTTGGTGAAGCCCTGCCTGAATCTGCGGAGGTTCGGTGGTGATGTAATCTCATCATACTCTGGTCACCTGGTGCTGTTAGCAGTTCTTTGTTCCTCCTAGCTGAACACGATTCCCAAGGCTTTGGGCAAATCCATCCATGGCTGGCTCGCTCGGCTGTTGCCCACGCACGCAGGCTACCCCTGGATTAGCCTTTCGTGCATCACCCACGCACACGCACCGCACGAGTCGGCCTCCGGATCTCGAGGCTCAGCAGGACCGCGGTCCAATCGTGGCCACCTCACAGGCTATTGAGCGCTGCTCCGCTGAGATTGTGCGATAACCCGTGAATTAATGCACGCAACACGCACAAGTCTGTCGCTTGTGGGATGTTTGCTGCTCCTCGTTGCCCTCGCATGGATCAGAAGGTCGTCCCAGAACATGGGATAACGCCCAATCGGATCTGAAGCGGGTGGCCTGGGCGGTCCCCGGCGCCCATTAACATGGCCCTGCACTGTGTGCGATACCTGAGGTGGGCTGAGGTGGGACACCTCCATCCGTACCTGATGGCTTTGCCTGGCCTCACTCAGCATCATCCATTTGCCTTCCAGAAACACCTTTTTTTTCTTTCACCGCCCAGCCCAGGATGGTAGCGCCGGGGCTCGAGGCGTTGCTGTAGCCGCCGTTTCCCCAGCAGATAATCGATCACCCCCGCAAGCGTGTGACAAAGGCGCACATGACAGTCGACAATTAAAGAGAGATCCATTCCATTCACTACTAGCTCGATGGCAGATGCAAGGCAAGGCACGGCCAAGGCGATCCACCATGACGCTCAATCAAAGAAATCAAATCACCAAGTTCCGTGAGGTGAGGTGAGAGAAAGGGGTGTGCCAGCCGAAACACGAAGGTTGGTGTCGCAGGCCTTGCAAGCCGGGGGCACTTTGAGCGGGCTAACGCGTTGAAAGGAATCAAAGGGCTCGGGGGATGCATATACAGCCAATGACGTTCCAGCTGCTGACGTGTGGTTGGCTGTGTGGGGAGCGCGGCGGACCTATTGCCAGGGCCACCTTCTCTTTGGGAAATTGCGCTAGCTTGCCTCGGAAGGTTTCTCGAAACCTTCTGGAACAATGGTAATGCGAAGCGGATCTAGCGCATGCGTGACAATGCAAGAAGGAGCGTAGCGTTGCGCCTTTGCACCTTCTTCCTTCCATTGAGCTTCTTTTCTTCCCTTCCCTTCCTTTCCTTCTCGGCACCCCATCTCATTCCGATCCATCCATCCATCCACCATC